TTTCATGTTTGTGTGGTTATTCTTGAAAGTTCGATGTTTGTAGAGTTTTTTATGTTTAGTGTGGACTTTTGTGTTTTGGGGGGGCCCTATGAACTTCTATTCTCCAAGCGAGGTGTCGTTTAATGGGAGGGGGTCCTACATCCCAAGCCTTCAGCCAAAAAAACCGAACGCGACACCATGAGGAAAAAATCACCGACGGCCAGCTATCACAGCTCATGGAGAAGATGCCGCTCGGTCTTGCACCAGGGGAGGCGCAGAAGATTGAAGGCGAAACCCTCAGCCCTAAGCCCCAAACCCTAAACCCTAAACCCTAGCCCTAAACCCTAAACATAGTCGCACCTTCACCCTGTGTTAAAAGGCTACCGGGTTTCCTACACACCCCAAGCAAGTACCTGTTTGAAGAAGGGCCAAATCAACCCCAAACCCTAAGGGCAATGCCCTGTGCAAGACGACACCTTGACATGCATCTTAGGATAGATACATGGTCCCTTAGAAAGGGCCCTTAAAAGGGGACCCCTTGTATACCCCTCATATGGGCCCGTACTTCAGAACCCTTTGAAGGTGTAAGGGACCTTATTAAGGGCCCATGTAAGTGTAACCTTCGAAATGCGATTGTGCCGGGTTGTGGGTTTCAAAACAATACTAGGACCCAGAGGCCCACAGTAGGACCTTATTCCTGGGTTTACGTTCCTGTATAAGCCCCCCTTTAAACCAAAACGGAAGCCCTGTCCATTCCCAGGCTACTCTTACCCTAAACCCTAAACCCTAAACCCTTTTGTATTCCTAGGTGTCTCTTGTGTCTCGAGAAGTAGGGTGTTTGGGGGCATTTGGGGTATGCAGGGGAGATAAGGCGGAACATCCCCCTAAATCCTAAGCCCTAAACCCTAAACCCTCAACCCTCAACCCTCAACCCTCAACCCTCAACCCTCAACCCTCAACCCTAAACCCTAAACCCTAAACCCTAAACCCTAAACCCTAACCCTAAACCCTAAGACTGTGCCGAGGAGCGCCGCACAGCCGGCCACCAGCTCGGCCCGCGGCTCAGCGCGCCCACAACCTCGAGCCCTTAATTAAGCCCTTAGGGTTTAGGGGTTTAGGGTTTAGGGTTTAGGGTTAAGCCGTTAAGCCCTTAAGCCCTTACGCCCTTACGCCCTAAAGCCCCAACACTACAGGTTCAGGTTCTAGGGTTAAGCCCAAGTTAAGCCCTAAAACCCTGAGACTAAACCTTTAGGCCCTTAAACCTCAAATCCCTGACCCTGTAGCCCTTCAATCCTTCAAGCCCTCACAAACCCTGAAACCCGTAAATCCTGAAGCCTTCAAACTCGCCCTGAAACCCCTAAACCCCCTTCTGAGGAACACTTGGGAATAATGTTAATTCGGGGCACTATAATTCCTAAGAAACAGCTAAATTACAACTCTTGCTAGGGTTCCAAGTTCAGTTTTGCTTTGATCTCAGAGTGGGCCCGGCGGTCTTTGGGCCAGGGGACTGCGAGCTTAGGGTTTAGGGTTTAGGGTTTAGGGTTAGGGTTTAGGGTTTCTGGTTTAGGGTTTAGGGTTTAGGGTTTAGGGTTAGGGTTTAGGGTTTAGGGTTTAGGGTTTAGGGTTACAGGGCTTTAGGTCCCTATTAAGGACTATTAGCATAAGGGGAAATCTCCCAAGCTCCAGGGCTTGGGTTAGGGTTCCGCCAAAACCTTCACCTGACAGGGGTCAGGCATTGGTCGAAGCCCGAAACCCTAAACCCTAAACCCGAAACCCGAAACCCGAAACTTGAACTCATCAGAATACTGCCACAAGGCTCAATTCTGCTGGCTCAGCAGTCTTGTTATGGAGGTTTGGCTGCGCTCGAACATGCTGCGGCAGAATTGCGGACACTTTGCGATGACCCTGAACCAGCGAAGGGCGGCCGGGCGAGGCAAAGGGTCCAGGAGCGTGCTGCAGGACACGCTCCGCCCAGTGAAAAATACTTGAAGGCCAGGATTGTCCTGTTTGGACGAGCGGTTTGGGCTGTAGGGCTTCGGGCCCGGGAGAAGAGAAGGCCGCGCACACCCACCTTCTTCAGGGGTTAGGGGTTTGGGGTTTAGGGCTTTGGCAAGTCTTTCGACCAGCAATGAAGAGGTCCTTGGCGGAGTCCAGGGTTTTGGCTTCAGTGAGGCACACCTGGAGCACTTTAGTCAACTGGGTATTGCTTGGGGATGATTTTAAATTCAGAACCCTAGTCCCTAAAACCCTAAACCCTTGAAGGGGTTTAGTTGGAGGGGCTTGCGTGGAAGATTTCCCAAGAATCTGCAACAACCCCCTGGAAGTCAGGGGTATGGTAAAATCCTTCCTTATATTCTCCCTTTATGAGTTAAAGGGTATGGGTTTGGGGTATGTCGAATTATTCTTATTCTCATTCATAAGGAGGAACCCCTAGAAGGGACCCTGAATCTTATTCCCCAGTCTAACCCCCATACATACCTCATGTAGTCCCTACATACCCCTAAGGGTCCATGTACTTCATTATTATGTACTTGGGCCCTAAAGTCCCTAAATAGGAGGTACTTTAGGGCCCAAGTATTCCCTATTTAGGTACATGGACCCTTAGGGTACCTAATGAGCTCCTGAACAGCCCCCCGAAAGAAACCCTTAGGTCCCTTGTAAGGGTCTCTCCTTTAGTCCCTTTACCCTAAGGGTCCATGTACCTCATTATTATGTACTTGGGCCCTAAAGTCCCTAAATAGGAGATACTTTAAGGCCCAAGTATTCCCTAATTAGGTACATGGACCCTTAGGGTTATCTTAGACTTTCGAGTTCTCCGCGAGGTCAAGATCCAGCGAAAGCGCCGAGACGACGACGACGCCCGGACCTCGCACGGCTCTATTCCAAGGTGGTAGAGTAGATCATCCTGAACCCTAAACCCTAAACCCTAAACCCTAAGCCCTAAACCCTAAACCCCAACCCTAAACCCTAAACCCCAAACCCCGAACCCTAAACCCTAAACCCTAAACGCTACCACCCAGACGGGGTGGTCAGTGTTTCAGAAAACTGGTCCACTCCCCAAAGCCTCCTTATAAACCCTATGTCAAGGGGCCCGCACGTCCTTCATTCAGTGTTTTTAGGGGCTTATGCAGTCCTTGTAATGAGTTTCAGTACATTCCTTAATCGAGGCATGCTGGGGTGGTTGCTCCCGACTTGGCTATCCCACCCCCTCCAGAAGCTACATGAGAAGCAACGGGAGAACTAAATCTAGATCGGAGTAGGCCCGTATTCCCATTTTTAGGGTTTGGGTCGTGTTCCCTTGTAACCCCCCCAAAAACCAAACAGGGTACCCTTTTTGCACCTTCCACTGCAGCTAAACGCCTATGTCTTCCTGCTTGGTGAGGGGCGGGGGGAGCGGGCTTGAGGGCTCGGCTCATCCCCACGCTTAAGGGTTTAGGGTTTATGGTTTTCGGGGTTTCGGGGTTTAGGGTTTGGGGTTTAGGGTTTAGGGGTTAGGGGCTTGGGGGTTTAGGGTTTAGGGGTTAGGGGGGTTTGGGGGTTTAGGGGTTTACGTGGGCCGAGGATGACATCGACTTGGACAATCTCTGAGCGGCTTCAGATTTTTGAGGTCCATGTCGGGCTTTGGACGCGGCCTTTGGGTGTTCAGGGTTTAGGGTTTAGGGTTTAGGGTTTAGGGTTTAGGGTTTATGAGGGCTGAAGTTTTAAGGTTCAGGGCTTAGGGCTCACGGCCCTGAATCGGAAAGCCCCAAACAGAGTACTGGCAAGCCCCTCACTTGACTCTATGCTGGGTTTTGTCCAGATTGTATGGCCTGATGTACAATGTACAGCCTACTTACTACACTCACCCTAAACCCACAGCCCCTTCTAAATGTGGGGTCTAAGGTTTCGAAATTCAGTCTCCACAGCACTACATACAGCACTGGGCTCCGTTCAATGCGTTGCGGCGCCTTGTCGCGCCCTGCTGTGCATGCGCCAATTCACGTGGCACGCGTTTTGCAAGGAGATGTCGGCAATGCTTGGTCCACGAAACCTCTGAGAATCATCTCAGGTGGGCAAAGCAGGCTGCGCTCTCCACTTCCCAAGACTCTAGACACGATCACACCCTACATCCCTGAGCCCTGAAGCCTAACTTAAGCCCAGAAAGAGGTGGGGAGACCCGGATTGAGCCTCCTGATGGCGCCGGCCTGTGCAGCTTGCAATGGCAACTGCAAGATTCGCACGTCCACTCATTGGCTAGAAACCAAACCTGCTGAGACGGCCGAGTGGATGCGGATCGTTATGTTTGGGGTTTTTACTGTTTATTGCACATGCAGACCCTAGAGGAAGGAAGTCGCTATGTATCTTCGGAAAGCCATACTGTAATTAGCCAGGTGTATCAAGGTCTCACGTCTTTTTTGTCTATCCCTAAACCCTAAACCTCCTAAACTCGCGTCTTTTTGTCTCAAAAGCCCTAAGGAACCGGAAGCCCGAATGCCGGATTTGAGGGCGGGGTGTAGTGGCTGAAGTCCTCTAAACCGTAAACCTTAGCTCTAAACCCTAATCCCTAAGTCCTGCCCCTTTAGGGTTTTTAGTGCTTAGGGTTTTTATTTTTGGGACTTAATAAAGCTGACCAGCCTAAAGCCTGTCACGCATTGGGACTCCCCCTTCATGTGTACCCCTTTATGTGTACACTCCTCACCCGCCGTTTAGGGGTTTAGGGTTTGGTGTTTAGGGTTTAGGGTTTAGGGTTTAGGACCTAAACCCCATAGCGCCTAGCCTCTAATCCCGAAACCCGCAACCCTAAGCCCAGGCCTAAAACTGTCTTTGGCTCCAGGGAACCGCCACACAGCTTCTCAGGGGCCAAGTCGGCATGTCATTCTAATCCTTTAACGCGCGCAAGCAGGGTTTAGGGTTTAGGGTTTAGGCTTTAGGCTTTAGGCCCGATTAGGCTTTAGGGTTTAGGGTTTAGGGTTTTGGGTTTTGGGTTTAGGGTTTACGGTGTAGGGTTTTGGGTTAAGGGTTTTTACCTGTGGAGCGCAATTATGGCGGAGGAGCCATCATCTATGCCCGCCGAGAAGGACCCGCAACGACTTCTACCCTGCGGGCGCGCGTAAGCCAGGGGTTGGGTTGGGGTTTGGGGTTTGGGGTTTGGGGTTTGGGGTTTGGGGTTTGGGGTTTGGGGTTTGGGGTTTGGGGTTTGGGATTTATGGTTTGTGGTTTAGGGTTTATGGTTTATGGTGTATGGTTTGCGGTTTATGGTTTAAGGGCTCAGGGTTTAGGGTTTGGGGTGTAGGGCTTAGGGTTTAGGGTTTAGGGTTTAGGGCTTAGGGCTTAGGGTTTAGGGTTTAGGGTTTGCCTGCCACGTGCGTAGAAGCTGGCAAGGTGGGTCTCCCATAAGCCGCAGGCTGTCGATGTGGATGAATGTTAAAGTTCTATGGGCCACCCTACGCCCTAAACACCCAACCCCAAACCCTAAACCCTAAACCCCAAACCCTAAACCCTAAACTCTAAACCCTAGACCCTAAACCCAAAACCCTAAACGCCCTAGACCCTATGAGCCCATAGATGCTTCTTGGGGCTCCCAAGCTCTTCTTCCATCGTCGTAGGCTTAAGCCCTAAGCCCTAATTAAGCCCTCAGCCCGAAGCCCACGTAAACCCTAAACCCTAAACCCTAAACCCCAAACCCCAAACCCCAAACCCCAAACCCCAAACCCTAAACCCTAAACCCAAAACCCTATAAACCCTAAACCCTAAACCCTAAACCCTAAGTCAGAAACAAGGTGTGCCTTCAACAAAAGCCTTTCAGCGGACCCCCCCCCCCCACTCCGCCTATGGTTTTAGGGTTAGGGTTTAGGGTTTAGGGCTAGGACCCAGAGTAGGCCTTGTTGACTTTTGTGGGGTTTAGGCTTTATAAGCCCCTTTAAACCAAACAGGGCACTCTTTTCATTCATAGTCTACTCTTGGGTCTAGGAAGCAATGCGAAGGCTCCCCGGCCGAAGATGTCCCCCAGCACAAAACCTAACTGTCCTTTCTCTCGGAAGCTTCTACATGTTCTTCGCAAGGCATCTTCATAGCAAACAGGTCGTTCGCCATGCAGCTTCGAAAGTCCGGAGTGGAGACGGTGAGTGTTTGAACGCGGGCTGGCTTCGGCTCGGCTGGCTCTAGTTTTGGCTCGTCTTGAGTGGTGTCTGGGCGGTCTTGGGGTGGGTATGTCTGCAATCTACTGCTTTCAGCTGACCAGAGCGACACCCTAAGCCTGAAATCCCCAAACCCTAAACCCTTAACCCCCTAAACCCCTAACCCTAAACCCTAGTCAAACCCCTAAATCCCAAACCCTAGACCCTGAACCCTAAACCCCCCAAACCCTAAACCCTAAACCCTAATGGGGTATCTTGGAGTCCGCCACCCTTGTCGAGGAGGCGGCTGAGTCGGTCGAGGCTCCTGCAGCGCCCGAGGCGCCACCAGCCGGGCCCCCAGATGAGGGTTTGCTGTTTCGGGTTTAGGGTTTAGGGCTAGGGTTTAGGGTTTATTGTTTAGGGTTTAGGATTTAGGGTTTAGGGTTTAGAGTTTAGGGTTCCAACTGCATCTGAAGCGCTCCCCCAAATCTTTAAAACCCTCCCCCTCCCCCCAAAACCCCTCGCCCTCGCACACAAACCGGGTAATTCGGACCAATCTCAAGAAACCATATGGTCTGTCTGACACCAAGTCCGGGACCGCCCCCAAAAACACGCACCACATGCCCTTACCCCTATAGCTTTTGGAGGGTTCTTGAAGTTGAGGGTTCTATTTCACAGATTTCGGGCCCAAAGCCATAGATCACCATACGTTAAAAACCCCTGCAGATGGAATATCGCTGAGAGTCTCAGTTTTCAGGGTTTACGGCTCATTGAAAGGTTTAGGTCTCACGGATAGAAGCACCTTGAGCCCTGAAGATTGAACCATACCCAAAGGCTCCAATGTTGTTCCTTTTTGTGTTAGCTATAGGGGCTTCTAGTACGCTACCCCAAAAAGGTACCACATAGGAGCCTTTGGGTAAACGCACAAGAATCTAAACTTGAATCAGCTCCGTTGAGGCCTGCGGTGCCGGGTGGGTGGGGGTGGGGGGGAATGGATCTCAAGTGTTGGCGTTTAGGGTTTAGGGTTTAGGGTCTACATGATAGGGTATAACCCTCATACTCTGGAAGTTTGGAATTTGCACCCACAAGCATCGTAATAATTCTATTCTGGTTTTTTTTGCAGTTTTCCGCTTTAGGGGCTTCAGGGTCCAAGAACTTCTGGCAGCAGCTTGTTTTGATAGTGGCACCTACACCCCTGAACCCCTTATATAGACCCTAAATCCCCAAGCGCCCGAGCCCCTGCACTATTGCCAACCCGCCTCAACCCCCAAACCCTAAAACCTAAACCCCTGAACCCTGAAGGTCCTCATAAACCCCAGACCCTAAACCCTAAACCCCTGAACCCATTATGGCCCCTCTAATACCCAGGACCTTAAATTCCCAAGTTCTAAAGCCCTAAACCCTAAACCCTAAACCCTAAACCCTAAACCCTAAACCCTAAACCCTAAACCCTAAACCCTAAACCCTAAACCCTAAACCCTAAACCCATAAACCCTAAACCCTAAACCCTAAACCCTAAACCCTAAACCCTAAACCCTAAACCCTAAACCCTAAACCCTAAACCCTAAACCCTAAACCCTAAACCCTAACCCTAAACCCTAAACCCCTAACCCCCTAAGACCACTAAGACCCCTAAGACCCTTTCCCTAAATTCCCAGACGCTGAACGAGGCCCCCGCCGACTCAGCAGAAGCCCCTGCGCCCACCGAGCCGACATCGGAGGAGCCCAAGCCATACCAGGTCACCAGCCTGGACTTCTGTAATTCGCCTATAGGCTCTATAGGGTTTAAGGTTTGGGGTTTGGGGTTTAGGGTTTAGGGTTTAGGTTTCATATTGGGTATAGTATTACATAGGACACATGCTGTTTATTGAGGTTATGGTTGTTCATGACGGGAGCGTCGTTGTCGTCATACTCCCTCCTGGGGGCCACACAAGCTGGGGTCTTGTTAAGAAGCTTAGACCACGTGTACGTAGGTTGCGTAGCAAAAAATAATGGAAACGCAGCGTGCGCATCGCAAGGAAGGCCAAAGCCCCATAGGTTTTGGGTGGTCCCAAGGGGGCCAGGGAAAGCCAGAAAGCGTGCCAAGGGGGTTTAGGGTTTAGGGTTTGGGGTTTGGGGTTTGGGGTTTAGGGGTTGCCACAGAATGCTGGCGCGGTGCTGCCCGAGGTCTTTTGCGCAGCTTCAACTACCAGTTGCTTACAGTAAGAACCCCGGAAAAAATTAATAAACAAGAGTATTCCTTATTAAGGGTAACATGGGGAATCATATTTTTCTTTTGGGGTTCTTAAGCAAATAATCGTCAAGCAGCGCGACACACGTCAGGAGTTCAGGGGGCTTGACGAGGTTTTGGGTGGTCACCTTAGGGGGGATCCAGGGCATTCTCTCGGCCCCACAACCGACGCCTTTCGGCCGAGGGCCGAGGTGAACACCATTTCTTGGTAGCCCAGTGCTACCCTTTTCCCTTGTTTTGGTTCTGGTTCCCTTATAAAGTAACCAACCCAAAAAAGTGTGCCCTATTATAATATGGTTACTGGGCTACTAAGATTTAGAGTACCCTTGAATTCTGGTAGCTTACCTTGAGATCCTGATCCCTTGGTACAGTAGCCCAGTGGTACCTTTTACTCTTTTCTTGTGCTTCTGGGTTCCCTTGTGGTACCACCAACAAAAGGATGCCCTGGTTCTTAAATCGCAACTGGGCTAACAAGAACCCAGACAAAACCAAAAGCAACTCACCCTAAACCCGAACCCTAAACCCTAAACCGTGCATGCAGCTTCCTGGTGGCACCTAAGGTCTCACGTGACGTGGATGGCGCTTTTGGTGGCAATGTGGAGCTTTCGAAAGAGGGTGCGGTTTATGGGGTTTAGGGTTTAGGGTTTTAGGTTTAGGGTTTAGGGTTTAGGGTTATGGGGTTAAGGGTGTTTGGCGTTTAGAGTGCCTAGGGTCACGCGTACTTGTAGGGTTTTCTATGGTTCGGGTTTCCGTTTCGGAGCTGAATTGCCTTCCTAAGTGATGAGGGGTTTCAGGCCAGCCGGAAAAACCTTTCTGTGCTGGTGGCGATGAGCACTCGAAGCTGAGGATTCTCACACGTTTGAGGGGCGTAATCCTGCTAGTGTCGGGCTTACGGTTTAGGGAAACAGAGTCGAGAGTAAAGGAGCCCGGAACTAAGCGGGTAACGTGCCGCTGCGCCAGACACTTGTTTATTACGAAGCGGTTCGGTGCAAATTTCTACTACACTGCTGTCGCACGCACGCTCCATCAAAGCCTGGAACACACATTCCTGACTCCCTGGCCCCTTATTCCCTAAACTCCCCGAAACCCCAAACCCCGAAATCGCAAAAGCCACTTTAACCTCTAAACTCTAAACCTTAGACCTACACCCGATACTTCCCCTACTTGCTAAGTTTCCCCAGCTTTCATCTGCAAGTAGAGGCCCGAATGCCCTGGACCAACTGTGGCAGAGCAGGTCCCGCAGAGCCAAATGCCCTGAACGCTCCACCAATCCCTTGCTTCTGTAGGGTTTCTATAGTTGAATAGGGTTTAGGGGGTAGGGTTTAGGGTTTAGGGTTTAGGGTTTAGGGTTTAGGGTTTAGGGTTTAGGGTTTAGGGTTTAGGGTTTAGGGTTTAGGGTTTAGGGTTTAGGGTTTAGGGTTTAGGGTTTAGGGTTTAGGGTTCAACCCATTGCTTATGTAGGGTTTATAGTCCAAAAAGGATTATCAGGGTTCTTGGCTTCTCTTTTTCGAATGGGTGCAGGACTGATTGGGCTGTGGCAGGGTTCAGGGTTTTGTGTTCAGGCCTATACCCTAAACCCCAAACCCTAAACCCCAAACCCCTAACCCTAAACCCCAAACCCCAAACCCCAAACCCCAAACCCCAAACCCGAACCCTAAACCCTAAACCCAGGCACCCTGCGCCGCACGGACCCGGACACAGGGGATGTGGAGCTCTACACCAGCATCGAGGGCATTCTCAAGGCCAGCTTCCCTATACATAATTTAGAAGAAAATAAGTCCGGCTGGTTAATTCTAGACAGGGCTGAAACAGAGTGTCCTATTCAGGTATTGAAGACAGATAGGTTTCCTCGGAAAACATCGAGGAAAAACAGAGGTTGGCCTAGGGACAGAAGCAGGTAGAAGAGGTATCCCTTGTTTCAAGAAACGAAACGTAAGGAGACAGAGGTATTCCTTGGAAATCTACAGAAATAGGGAGAAGAAAGCAGTTCGCTTTCCGAAGAATCTGCAGGGACAGTTCTTGTTTCGTTGTTTCAAAAACTTATTGATGTTTTACGGTCCTTGTGGATTGTCCCCAAAAGGGTTTTCTAATTGTTAAACATTTTTGCGTGGGCTTTCCACTGCACCTCTGCGAAGGGATTCTACCGGGTGCCTAAGTCCCGATCCCCCACGAACAACCAGCCCTAGGCCCTACACCCGAAGACCCTGAACCCCAGACCCTCCCGCAACCCTAAATAAACCCTAAACTTGGGATTTGCCTCAGCCCACTAACAGTCAAATGAAGGGTTTTGTGCTAAGCATAGCGCAAAACCAGCACCAGAAATTCTGATCGAGTTTGAACCTGGCTCAGCAAACGAGATCACATTTGGGACCTTGGTTTGTGTTTTTTTTCTGGCGCTAGTCATGGCGTTCCTGTTGGTGCGGGTTCTGGTGCCATTGCTTCGTGCTGAGCACAAAAAGTGGCACCAGATAAGACACAACCTTGAGAACAAAGAACTGCACCAGCAAAAGCACAATCTTGAGCACAAATTTCTCGAAGACCACTATACTAGGAGTATCACCAGAAAGAACCACTATCTTGAGCACAACAAATGTCACCAGAGAAAGCACAATCTTGAGCACACAAAGACACCAGAAAAAACATCTTGAGCATAAACAATGACACCAGAACAAACACAACCTTGAGCGCGAAAAAGAGCACCAGAAAACTTAATCACAATTACTTCATAAAGTCCGGAATGTGATCTATGCAACCCTATGTTTTAGATAAACCCTAAACCCTAAACCCTAACACCCTAAAACCCTAACACCCTAAAACCCTAAACCCTAAACCCTAAACCCTGAACCCTAAACCCTAAACCCTAAACCCTAAACCCTAAACCCTAAACCCTAAACCCTAAACCCTAAACCCTAAACCCTAAACCCTAAACCCTAAACCCTACCAGGCCGTGCCTTCCCTCAACTGGGACCTGGCAGCGGCCTGGAGTCGGCTGCCCATCGTGCGGGCGGCTGCGCCCGCAAAGAGGGGCTTAGGGTTTAGGGTTTAGGGTTTAGGGTTTAGGGTTTAGGGTTTGGGGTGTAGGGTTTAGGGTTGAGGGTTGAGGGTTGAGGGTTTTAGGGTTTAGGGTTTGGGGTTTAGGGTTTGGGGGTGTGGGGTTTGGGGGTTTGGGGTTTAGGGTTTTAGGGTTTGGGGTTTAGGGTTTAGGGTTTTAAGGTTTAGGGTTTGGGGTTTAGGGTTTTGGGGTTTAGGGTTTGGGGCATGGGGTTTAGTTAGGGTTTGGGGTTTAGGGTTGAGGGTTTGGGGTTTAGGGTTTAGGGTGTGGGGTTTTAGGGTTTGGGGTTTAGGGTTTAGGATTTAGGGTTTGGGGCCTGGGGTTTCGGGTTTAGGGTTGAGGGTTTGGGGTTTAGGGTTGAGGGTTTGGGGTTTAGGGTTCGGGTTTAGGGTTGAGGGTTTGGGGTTTAGGGTTGAGGGTTTAGGGTTCTGGGTGTGGGGTGTGGGGTTTGGGTTTTTTGGGTTTTGGGTGTCGGGTGTGGGGTGTGGGGTGTGGGGTTTTAAGGTTTGGGGTTTGGGGTTTCAAGTTTGGGGTTTGGGGTTCAAGGGTTTAGGGTTCAAGGCTTGAAGGTCTGGAGTTTGGGATTAGGGTTTAGGTTGAGGGTTTGGATTTGAAGGTGGGGCGCGCACCGTTTACAGGGCTTTAAGGGTTTGTAGGGGCTTAAAGGGTTGAGCGCCTTTAGGGTTTAGGATGTAGGGTCCGGTTAAGGGTTAGGTTTCAGCTTAGGGTTTAGGGTTTAGAGTTTAGGGTTTAGGGTTTCAGACTTGAGAGGGTCGCGCTGAAAGCCTTACAGTCTTACATGGCTCGACAATCACTAAACTCCAACTGTCCTTCTTATGGAGGATAACTGGAATGTAACTACGATCGCTCTAACATAGACCCCAAGTAGTCGGATCCCTTTATAACCAGGACCTCAAGAAATATTCCACTGTTAGTACACCCTCCCCCCCGTCCCATATTCTGCAATATTAGGGCATTTTGTGGGTTTGGCGTTTCCACACCCTACACCCTAAACCCCGTAAACCCCAAACCACTAACCCTCAACCCTGAACCCCAAGCCCTAAGCCCCCTGTACTCTGAACCCGAAATCCTGCACACCCCAAACCACACACCCTAAACCCTGGACCCTAACCCGGGTCCGGGGTTCTTCAAAGCTTTGAAGGTTTCCTCACTACTCTCGTGGGAGGATCGGAGGATTCTAGGAGTTTCGGGCTTCGGGGGGGTTAAAAGTGTTAGGGTTTGGGGTTAAGGGTTTTTTAGGGTCTAGGAATTGATCACCCTACTGGAGAACTCTGCGTGCAAAGTCCGCCGCTCCTGCAAGTACAACCATATGACATATGATAAACACCCAAAGCACACCCTAAGCTCGAACGCTTTTTCACCCTAAATCCCTACACCCCAAAGCACGAAAGACACTAAGCTCTACAACTCTTAGCCCTAAGACCCTAAATCCTAAACACCCTGAACCCTAAACCCTAAATCCTAAACACCCTGAACCCTAAACCCTAAATAACCCTAAACACCCTGAACCCTAAACCCTAAACCCTGAATGCTAAACCCTAAACCCTAAACCCTAAACCTATGCCCTAAACTTCGCAGTTTCCTGGGCCCAGGTGCATCTTTTCATCGACCGCAGCAGCTACGAACGCGCGGGGGTGGCCCGGTCCTATGCCAGCAAGGACGCTTTTTTTTTAATGGTACTTTACCGTAACTTTAGATCCTTACCCTTTTTGGGTTTATTGGGTTTCTTAATAAGGCTGCTAAAAGTTTAATTTTTAGCTACGCTCCTGAGTGCAGCCAAGTGTTTTATTTGGGAGAAGTGGGGCTTGAGGGTTTGTGGGTTTTGGGTTTTGGGGTTTAGGGTTTAGGGTTTACGTTTTTTTGGGCTTCAGGGTTTTAAGGCTTTTCGGGTTTAGGGCTTTAGGGCATAGGGTACAGGGATTGGGATTACGCCTGGGGGGGGGGGGGGGTTCTAAGTTGCAGGGCGCAGGCGGCGCAGGTGGCGTTTCTCTTCTAACACCTTTTAGGCTTCTAACCGGGTTGATGGGTCCTGCATTTCTAACACCCGACCTTCTAATTCCTAAGCCCTAAACCCTGCACCCCAAACCTTGAACCTTATAAGCCCCAAACCCTAAGTGCAAACCTTGAACCCTATATTGTCCACAGCCACAGGCCCCAACGCCTTTCGGGCTGTGGTCTTTTCAGGTTTAGGCTGGAGGTCTTAGGGTTCCTATTAACTTAACCCGGTGCTTGGGTTTAGGGTTTAGGGTTTCGGGTTTAGGGTTTAGGGTTTCGGGTTTAGGGTCTAGGGTTTGGGGCTTAGGGTTTGGGTTTAGGGTTGAGGGTTTAGGGTTTAGGGCGAAGCCCTCAACCTCCCTAAACCCATTCGCGTATCTTAAAGCTTTAAGAAGGACTTCCAGCCCGAAGGGGTTGACTTGATCTCCGCCATCACATGGTGGCGCCGCCGTGTGCGAGAGGAGACTCCAAGGGGTGGCGTCTTTTTTTTTTTTTTTTTTGGGGGGGGGGGGGGCAACTTTCCTTGGCAGGGTTTTTGGGCTTAGGGTTTAGGGCTTTCGGACCCTAAACCCGAAACCCTAAACCTTAAGGGCTTAGGGTTTAAGGTTTTTCGCGCGAAGAAGTTAGGAAAGGGCCACCGGGAGCCAAACCCGAAGGTTTTCGACCACTTCCCGGGACCCGTCGCCCGGCCCCAAGCGGTGCCCCCTGCGCAGTGGGTATGGGTCCGGGTAAAAGCCCTAAACCCTAAACCCTAAACCCTTGTAAAGTGTAATTACATGAACCATAGGAAGGGTACAATACCCTTGCTCTTCCCAAGGCGTTACTGAGCCTAGAAGGCTGCCTAAGTTACACATCTGCCCTTTCCAAAAGGCATGTGCGTGGTTGCTAGATGGTCTAGGCATACCTTGGGAGATTGCCACTTCTAAAAACAGCGGTGCGTCAGAGTCACGGTGGTTTCACCTGTATAAACCCCTTAAGCCCCGAAGGCCCTTAACCTCTAAGCCCTTAACCGTTCAACCCGGAAGTCCCATCACCCTCATCCCCTAAGCCCTGAAGCCTCTAAAGCTCTATAGCCAGGACCCAAAGTAGGCCCTTATTCCTTTTTTTAGGGTTCAGCTTCATGTGTTAGCGCCTTTAAACCAAAAAAAAAGTGCACCCTTTCTTCTTCCTAGGTTACTCTTGGGTCTAGAATAAATAGTAGGGTTTGGGGATTAGGGTAAATGAACCCTTTCTTCTTCCTAGGTTCCTCTTCTTGGGTCTAGCCCTTAGCCCTAAACCCTGTTAAACAGGGTTTTCATTCCTAGGTTACTCTTGGGTCTAGACCCTAAACCCTAAACCCTAAACCCTAAACCCTAAACCCTAAACCCTAAACCCTAAACCCCCGCAGGAGGGGAAAGGCTTCGCTGTCTTTGAAGGTGGCTTCGACTCTTCTGGGGCCGCTCGGTGTCAATGTAGGAGGGGGGGGGGGGTGGGTTTAGGGTTTTGGGTTTGGGGGTTTTGGGTTTTGGGGGTTGGGTTTTTGGGTTTTGGGTTTTGGGTTTTGGGTTTTGGGTTTTGGGTTTTGGGTTTCATCACTGCGCAGGGAGCTCAACACACCCCATTTATTAAGGGCTTGTTGGCTTTTGGGTTGGGGGCTTGGGGGTTCCCCCCTGGTTCTTAGTAGGGAATGAGGCCCACTATATATTTACATATATATATATATATATTTTTTATGGGATTTTATAGGGCCCGCATTCCCTCATTCCCTAGTTACTAAGAACCAGCCACGGGGTAGGGTTGTTGGGGTTTACTTCGTTGGAAGTCCCCCCTAATGCTAGCAGTCCTTTATAGGGATTATAGTACCCCCTATCCCTGTCCCTATTAAGGATTGTCAGTTTCAGGGAGAATAATGCCAAGCTTGGCGGTGTAGGATTTACGGGTTTACTGCGTATGCTTTGGAGAAACGAGCCACTTAGTATGTAAATCTTGACACCCCAGAACCCCCAAAACCAGCAAACCTTACCCAGAGGGTTCATTTGTAGTACCACTATGGGGTTAGGTATGCAGAAACACCATTTAGTATGGTTGCTGGGTACCTAATTCCTGCTTCGTACCCGAAACCCTAAACCCCGAAACCCCTACACTAAAACCCCTAAACCCTCAACCCCTAAGCCCAAACCCCTCAACCTCCAAACCCCCAAACCCCTAAACCCCTAGACCCCTTAGCCCTTAAAACCCTAAACCCTAAACCCCTAAACCCAGAAGCCTTCGTTCCAATACAGGATCTCCGCCCCCCAGACCCGCTGCCACAACCACTACCCCCCCAACTCTAATTACAGGGTCCTAAAGGGTTTGGGGGTTATGGTTTACGGTGACCCAAGCTTCCCGAATACTCCGCACCATTCCCTCAGGCTCCCTAAGCTTCCCTAACATTGTAGGGAACCCCCCTCCCTTCAGGACCCTCATTCAACCCCAGCTTTCGGTTTTTGTTTGGGGCTTTGAGGGGCTTTGTGGTTTAGAGGTTTTAGGGGCTTTGGGTTTGGGATTTCGGTTTTCAGGGGCTTTGGGGGGTTTAGGATTTTAGAGAGTTTTAGGGGCTTCGGGGTTTGGGTTTTAGGGGCTTTAGGGTTTGGGGCTCTGGGTTTTTGCTTCTGGGTTTTCGCCCCCAGGTGCTAGGAAAGCCCCTGCTCCTCCCTAGACCCCTAAGCCCTAAACCAAGATCCCTGAAAGCCTAAACCCTAAACCCTAAACCCTAAACCCTAAACCCTAAACCCTAAACCCTAAACCCTAAACCCTAAACCCTAAACCCTAAACCCTAACCCCGCCTCATCGGCTTGAGCTTGGTCAGGCCTGCGTCACGGGTCCTCCATACTTCAAGCTGGCTGCTGGGTTGCACCCCCTGGGTTTAGGGTTTAGGGTTTAGGGTTTAGGGTGCAGGGTGTACGGTTTAGGGTCAGGCTTCTTAAGGTCTTCTGAGGGCTCTTTCTACAGTGGCTCAAGGGCTTCGGAGAGGTACTCTGGAACATATCTAGACGGATAGATGGATGGATAGAGAGTCGGCCATGGAAGATGGGCCCAACTCAGGTCTGCGCCTATTCGCGAAGGTCCCCTACTGGGGCCCCGAGGTAGCTTTGCCTACCACCCTAAGCCCTAAACCCTAAACCCTAAACCCTAAGCCCCATTTCCAGGGAATTCTGGCAGACACATGGAGCCATCCTTAGCTGCTCTGGAAGACCATTGGACTGAGCAAGCTTCATGGGGTTTAGGGCTCAGGGTTTAGGATGGGGTTTAGGGTCTAGGGGTTAAGGTGGTATGGGGTTAGAGGGTTTAGGGGTTAGGGGGTTTAGGGGTTAGGGGGTTTAGGGGTTATAGGATTTAGGGTTTGGGGCTTCTCAACACTGTAAGCCCCAAGCATGAAGAGCCCTTCGCCGGATCTCTTGTCCACGTAAGACGGCGCTTAGGACGGATCAAATGGCAGCGTGGACGCGGACGACATGGACGCCATCCAAAGGTGAGACTTCTTTACCGTCCTAAGCCCTAAACCCCGAAACCCGCCTTAGCCCTAAGCCTTATATTAGAAGGATTCGAGGGGTTTTCGAAGCCTTAAAACCCAAATCAGGAAGGCCCTGACCCTTTGTACCTTGCAAGACCCACGAAACCCAAGCCCTATATTACCCCCCCTGCCAACACAGAGTATCCCTAAGTCTGGTGTTTATGGATTAGAGCTTAGGGTTCAGGGCGTTCAAGTATCTTGGCCGCTTGCCCAAGTGGACCATGATCTACTGATGTTGCAAAGCCGGTTGTTCCGGCAGAGCTCTCGTAACACTCTAAACCTAAACCCTAAACCCTAAACCCCCTGTTCAGTGCGAAGGGGAAGGGGGCAGGACTGTGGAGGAGCCTCTCGAGCAACCCCAACCCCAAACCCTAAAACCTAAAACCCTAAACCCTTAAACCTTTAAATCCTAAACCCTAAACCCTAAAACCCTTAAGCCCTAAACCCTAAACCCTTTTACCAGCCGCAAGGAAGGCGGCTCGATCTGGCGGGGCTTCAAGACGCTGTAAAGTGCCCAGAGCTGCTAGAAGACCCTGAGCCCTAGAACACCCCAGTGGGTTACGGGTTTGGGGTTTTAGGGTTTTAGAAAAGGGCCATGAGCTGTCCAGTTAGATTCCGGATGTGTCCCGGTCGTGTGGATTTGTAGGGTTTAGGGTCTCTAGGGTTTAAGGTTCAGGGTTTAGGGTTTAGGGTTTAGGATTTAGGGTTTAGGGTTTAGGGTTTAGGGTTTAGGGCACCATGAACCCGAAGCCGTGAATGAGGGTGGAAGCTTGGGGGGGCATTTCTGGCGGAGGAAGCGCGAGATCCATGAGAAGCGGCGGAAGCTCGAGCAAAGGCTCGTTTGGGGGGGGGGGGGGGGGTTTTGGGGGTTTAGGGGTTTAGGGTTTAGGGTTTAGGGTTTAGGGTTTGGTTTTGGGGTTTAGGGTTTGGGGTTTTAGCATGAGTTGCGGTTTAGAGGTGTTTTGGGGTCCCTAAACTCTCAGCCCTAAGCTTGCAGGATTCAGGCCAACCCTTCTATAGTTTCTTTCCCTGACCACCAAGTGCTTAAGAACTCACAAAAAGTATTCTTCCTTATAAGGGCAATAATATAGGTGTTTTTTTGGGGCTTCTGAAGCAAAAAGTAGCTGAAGAGTGCAGATTCCTGAGCCCCAAACCCTGAAGTCTTGAGGCGGAAGGAACGTGGGGGCTGCGACTGCATGCGGGGGTTGAGGGCTGTTAGACCTTAACCCGAAACCCTAAACCCTAAACCCTAAACCCTTTGGGTCTAGGGACCGCAACCCTAGACCCTAAACCCTAATGGGCCTCAAGGTGCGTCTGGCGGTCTGCGGCTGCGGATTTAGGACCTCTACCCTAGGGTTTAAGGTTTAGGGTTTGGGGTTTAGGGTTTAGAGTTTAGAGTTTAGGGTTTAGGGTTTAGGTCTTTGGGGTTTCGGGTAAAGTAGCTGCACTTGTTGTTATAAGCATTGCATGTAGGTTTCAGGGTATAGGGCTTGGCACCCTCCACCCTCAACCACCTAAACCCATAGGCTCATCCCAAGCCCTAAGCCTTGAACCTTAAACCCTAAACACTGATCCTCAGCCCTAAACCCTAAACCCTAAACCCTACACCCTAAGCCCTCTTAACCCTGAACCCTGAACCCTAAACCCCAACCTTCGCCCTCTTAAACCCCCCCCTAAGCCACCCTGAGCTGCCTCGGTAGGCATCTTTCAGGCCAACGAGCCTGGCCCTAAGCCTTAAGCCCCAGAATCAGACTCTTGAAGTCCCTAAGTCCCTAAACCCTAAACCCTAAACCCCAAACCCTAAACCCTAAACCCTATACCCCGACTTCCCTAAGATCGTCGTGCCCTGTGAAGGTGGGCTGCCAAAGGCACCACTGATGCTGTGCTGCTGAAGATCAAACAGGCGCCAGGTTTTTTTTTTCCGAAGGAAGGGCTTAGGGTTTATAGGGTTTAGGGTTTAGGGTTTAGGGTTTAGGGTTCAGGGTTCAGGGTTCAGGGTTCAGGGTTCAGGGTTCAGGGGTTCAGCGTTCAGGGTTTAGGCAGCCACCAGGGCATTATCCCCCCCCCCACACCCGGCATGTTCCCCCCCCTGCCCTCCCTCCACACACCCCCATCCCAAACTTCCGGTCCTAGCTGTTCGGCAAAAGCTGTTTGGGACCCAATCTTTTTAGACACTCTCGGGAAGTCCCAAAACTACCCTAAACCCCAACCCCAAAGCCTGAAGCCTTACTGGCACCTGGTACGCCCAAACGTTGCCACAGCCTTGTCCCTTGCAGGCAGACGCGCATCGTCTCCATCGCAAGGCCAAGCGATTTAGAGCTGCATCGCTTTAAGAAATCTTAGGGTTGAAGCTTCGCGCGTCTTAGCCCATGTGCCCGAAGCCCCAAAACCCTAAAGCTTAAACCCTAAACGGTGTAGGGTGTTGGGGCTTCGTGGTTTCAATCCTGTGTGGGGGGGAGGGATTTTTTTACGGGAACCCGGTACCGTCGGATGAGGAAGAAGCGGCCTGCCCGCAGCGGCTTAGGGTTCAGGGCGCAGGGTACACGGCTTTCGGGTATAGAGAGTTCATTCCTGAGCTCAAAACCCTGGACTTTGAACGCCCTCAACACCAACCCTGAAACCACCTGCCACAAGGCCTAAACCCTGAACCTCAACCCTAAACCCTGAACCCTAAACCCTAAACCCTAAACCCTAAACCGTCTGAAGGCGCAGGGAGAAGAATATCACTACCGCAAGGGCTGGGTGGGGAGCCCCAGCAGGGGGCTGTGTGCGGGAAGCCGGGCTGGTGCGGGGGGGGGGGGGGGTTTAGGGTTTAGGGTTTAGGGTTTAGGGTTTAGGGTTTAGGGTTTAGGGTTTAGGGTTTGGGGTTAGAACTGGGTTGTGGGTTGTTGGGTTTACAGGTCAGAGTTTAGGGTTCAAGGTTTGGGGTTTAGGGCTTAAGCTTGAGGGATTAGGGTTTGGGGTTTAGAAGGAGGTCTCCTTTTCTTGTCTGCCTTCTTGTGAGAAAACCCTGACAAGGAGTGTTTGGTGTGAATGTATGGGCTTTTCACCTCGCCAAACATCCGAACATTGAGCTCTAAGCATCATATGATCATATGACCTGCTGGGGGTCCTTATCAGGGACCCAGAGTAGACACTTATTCCCTGTCTGTCGTCTGGCTTAAAAGGGCGCAGGCGCCCTTTTTTTCTTCGGCTACTTTTGGGCTTATTTATTCATCTGGGCATTTCCCAAATCCGTGATACCTTTGGCATCCCACATGCAATAGAATCGCCTTAAAGGGCCCCTTCCCCCAAAAAGGCACCCCGAACTAGCGGAACCCCCCCCCCCCCCCCCAATATCATACAACTGCTAGGGTTTGGCTCTGTGGGTGTAGGTATGCTGTAGTAGACAGCCCAAACAAAGCGCATAATGAAGGAAAGTACCGGTAGAATCAGCCCAAAAAGGCCCAAAGTTACTCCTCATTCGTTAAACAAAGAATTATATACGCTACCTCCTTCAAGACCGGCTTTGGCTATAAACAGGAAAGAGCCGCGGCTCAGGGTTTTCTGGTTTTTAGGGTTGAGGGTTTAGGGTTTTGGGAGCTTCAGCTCCACTTGCCCCCCCACCCCTAAACCCTAAACCCTAAACCCTAAACCCTAAACCCTAAACTCTAAACCCTAAACCCTAAACCCTAAACCCTAAACCCCCCCCCCCCCCGGTATTTGTGGGGGTCTTCTGCTGATTTTTTAGATTCGGGCTCATGGTTTAGGGCTTCCACAAGGCCCCTTGGCCTGAAGCCTTTGAAGCTTGAGGAGGAGCATGGGTGGCGATGGGGCAGAATGAACAATACCCAAACCCTAAAAACCCGAAACGCCCTAAATCCTGAACCCTATAAACTAAAAACCCTACACACCCTAAACCCCTGAACCCTAACTACACCCCTGAACCCATAACCCCTAAGCCCCCCTAAGACGCAAGTGTTTCATCGACGTTGGGGCTTGTTCTTTGCCCTTCACTCCGAGCTCGCGGGGTACGCCCCCCAGCACCTTTTGTTGCAGGAAAGGTGCTGCCCGGCCGTTGAATTCCTCAAGAGAGCAGGGCCAGGCAGCACAAGTGCCTTTCAATTCCTGGCTTAACATCGGTGTGTTGCTTGTGTACCTCCGCTCGTGTGGCCTGACCTTGCGGGACATCGGCCCCAAGAACGTGGCAGTCACGCGCCATACAGCAAGCTCTGCAACACCTAGAGCAGTCCTTTATGACCCCAATACGTGATCGCTCGGGCAACCCACGGATGAATTCGGTATTGGAATCTCGTAGGAGATTTTGCCGTGAGCCGTCTGAATTGGCTCCGCAGCTACACGCGGTAAGAAGGGACCCCTGCTCCATCGCAAACTCAGTTCCTTGAGCGGAGCGACGCAAGACAAAGGGTTTAGGGTTTACTTGGAGGCTCATGGTACTTACTAACCAATTCTAATTGTACTTATAACCCTACTTATAATTGGGATAACCCCTATAAGGCCCTTTAGGGGTATTATAAGTAGGGTTATAAGTACAGTTATAATTGGTTAGTAAGTACCATGAACCTCCAAGTAGGGTTCTTGCTCACTGACATGCTTGTCCAAGGTCTGCCATTGCGATGCCTGCAAGAGGAGGTCAAACATCGAGTCAGCTCTTCAATGTCGCATGTCCGACGCATTATCCAAAATTGCAAGCTGCATGCTTGTATAGCCCTGAACCCTACACTCCCTAATTAAACCCTAAACCCTACATCCTAAACCCCTCAACCCTGAAGCCCGAAACCCCTAAGTCCGAAAACCCTGCACCCTAAAACCCTTTAACCCTAAGGCCGTAAGCCCTCAGCCCTAAAAGCCCTGTAGCCCCGGCCTCCCACTCTCACGAGGACCCCTAAGCCCGAAACCCCAAACCCTGAACCCTAAACCCTAAACCCCAAACCCTAAACCCTATAAACCCTAAACCCGAAACCCCAAACCCTAAACCCTATAAACCCTAAACCCGAAACCCTAAACCCCAATCCTGAAACCTGAAACCCAGAGCCCTAAACCCTAAACCCCAAACCCCAAACCCGAAACCCCCTAAACCCGAAACCCTAAACCCGAAGCCCACGCGCAAGAGGTCTCCACCCTGGCAGCACAGGCCACGCCCCGCTCCCCGCGGCAGCGCGGGGGAGCCCTGGCAGAGCTGGTAGGGCTCTTTTGGTGGGACTTGCTGTAGGGTTTAGGGTTCAGGGTTTAGGGTTTAGGGTTTGGGGTTTGGGGTTTAGGGTTTAGGGTTCAGGGTTTAGGGTTTGAGGTTTAGGGTTTAGGGTCGGCATCCGAAGTCAAAGCTGCAAACCTGAGCTTAGCACGTTTTCAGCTCAAAGTTTTCTTGGCAAGGACACGCCTGAATGTAACCTTAGCTAGGTAGGCCCTGCGGATTTGTTTGGTATTTTCCCTTATTGGGTTTAGGGTTTAGGGTTTAGGGTTTAGGGTTTAGGGTTTAGGGTTTAGGGTTTAGGGTTTAGGCATATTGAGGAATGTTTTTTTTCTGGGCTCTCAGGGCCATCGTAGTTAGGATTTGCGGGGTGCTAATGAGGCTATGCTTGACACCCTACGTATCGGCTGGGTTTAGGGTTTAGGGTTTGGGGTCGGGGGGGGGGGGGGGGGTTGGGGTTCAGGGTTTAGGGTTTAGGGTTTAGGGTTTAGGGTTTAGGGTTTAGGGTTTAGGGTTTAGGGTTTAGGGTTTAGGGTTTAGGGTTTAGGGTTTAGGGTTTAGGGTTTAGGTTAATTAGACTTACAACTTACAACCTTACTAGGTGACTAGGACCCAGAATAAGCCCTCATTCCCATGTTGTCGGGTTTAGGTTCCCTGATAAGCATCGTTAAACCAAATAGGGCACCCTTTAGAGACCTATGGTTTAGGGTTTAGGGTTTAGGGTTTAGGGTTTAGGGTTTAGGGTTTAGGGTTTAGGGTTTAGGTTAATTAGACTTACAACTTACAACCTTACTAGGTGACTAGGACCCAGAATAAGCCCTCATTCCCATGTTGTCGGGTTTAGGTTCCCTGATAAGCATCGTTAAACCAAAAAGGGCACCCTTTAGAGACCTATGGTTTAGGGTTTAGGGTTTAGGGTTTAGGGTTTAGGGTTTAGGGTTAGGTCCACAACCTCTGGTATTCCTAAATTCATTCCTTGACCGTACAGTCTGGCCCCTAAAACCTTTATAAACCCTAAAGCCCAAACCCCAAAGCCTGAACCCAAAACCCTGAGCCCTAAACCCCAAGGTGTAGACCCTAAAACCCAAACCACAAGCCCTAAACCCCAAACCCTAATCCCAAGCCCTAAACCCTAGCCCCAAACCCCAAACCCCAAACCCCAAACCCCAAACCCCAAACCCCAAACCCCAAACCTACACCCTAAACCCCAAACCCTAGCCCTAAACCCTAAACCCCTAACCCCATACAAAGCACCAAGGCCTGAAGTTGCCAGCCTTGCGATAGCTCGAGACCCGCGGATGTGCGGTCAACCATTCCGTGCTGGCGTTCAAGGTTTATTGTTTAGGGTTTAGGGTTTCGGGTTTAGGGTCTAGGGTTCAGGGTCTAGGGTTTAGGGTTTGGGGCATCATGTGGGGGTTCCTTGACCCTAAACCCTAAACCCGAAACACCCCACACCCTGCAGCAGAATCAGTGCCCAAGATCAGAACCTCATTTGCCCTACACCCTAAAGCCTAAACCTTAAACCCTAAACCCTAAATCCCAAACCCTTACATCCTTTTTTGAATGTGTAGGCTTCGCATTTCGGCGGTTGATCTCGCGACGACAGCTGCGCCATAATTAATTCCCATGCGCCGCCGCTCGCTGCAGGTAAGATATTTTTTTCAGAGGGGTTTAGGGTTTAGGGTTTAGGGTTTAGGGTTTAGGATTTAGGATTTAGGATTTAGGGTTTAGGGTTTAGGGTTTAGGGTTTAGGGTTTAGGGCACACTCTAAGCCCTTAAGTAGTCGAGTAAGCGACCTGAATTTTGTGTTCTTGAAGAGGACGCAGAGTAGGCCCTTAGTCGCTTTGTTTGGGGCGCGGCTTCCCTTAGAAGGCCTGAAAACCAAAAAGCGCACCCTTTTATTCCTAGCAACCCACCCCCCCCCCGACAGACGTCACAAAGACGCTCAGCGCCCCGCCCCCACCCCCCCGCCCAACCCCCCCCTCCCCACCCCACCCCCCACCCCCCCCCCCCCCCCCCCACCCCCCCCCCACCCCCCACCCCCCCACCAACCCCCCCCACCCCCCCCACCCCCCCACCCACCCCCCGCCACCCCCCCACCCCCGGTTTTTTGTTGGTGGTTTTTTGGTAGGGTGTTTAGTTTTTGGGTTTTGGAGGACTTTTCGGCTTTTCGGCTTTTTTGTTGGGTCTTGTGGGGTTTTGAGGTTGTTTTTTGTGTTGTAGGGCTTTGCGGGTTTTAAGGTTGAGGGTTTTTAGGGCTTTTAGGTTTTCTAGGGCTTGTGGGGGTTAGGGAGCCTCGACCTCGCCAGCGCTGAGGCTGAAGTGCTGACTCGACGGTTTAGGGTGTAGGGTTTGGGGGTTGGGGTTTAGGGCTTCCTGCCTGCAGCGAGGGGGCTTGTAAGGGGGTAGGTTCTCTACATTGATGGGTCCCTTTCTGGGTTTCCCGATATAGTACGACCACCTTATAGCAAGGACCCCCTGAAAGGGACCCGAATCGAGAGAACTGCCCAAGTACTTTAGGTTCCACCCTCTTGCTCCAAGACGGATATGCAAGGAGGTCCGACCAATTTAATGTGTCCAGATGTCTCAGAAATGAGACTCCTTTGCGAAGGTCCCATACCCAGATTTGTCCTAGATGAACATGAACCCTAAACCCTAAACCCTACCCTAAGCACCAAAAACGCTGCGCAAGCTAGCAATCCACGAACACGAAATTGACTGGTAGGGTGTTGCGCTTGGGGTTGTGAAGCCCTGCACCCTAACCCAAAACCTTGAGAAACCCTGCAGTTGCATCACCTCCCTCAAGCCGAAACCCTAAACCCCAAACCCTAAACCCCAAACCCTAAACCCTAAACCCCTAAACCCTAAACCCCTAAACCCTAAACCCGCAACCCTAAACCCTAAACCCTCAACCCTACCTCAGGGACATGCACTTTCCAAGCCGTGATCGGCATGCGTTGATCCGATGAACTCTGAGACCAGAGGCCATACAAAAAGAAGGAGTTTACCCTAAACCCTAGACCCTAAACCCTCAACTCAAACAGTGCGTTTTGGGCTTTGGGATGCTCAGAGGGGTTTAGATGTCAGGATTTAGGCTTTAGGGTTTCGGGTTTTTGGGTTCTTAAGGGTTAGGGTATAGGGTTTAGGGTGTAGTTGAGGGTTTAGGGTGCAAGGTCGAGGGTTTAGGGGTTAAGGTTTCGAGTAAGCTTTCGAGCACAGGGTCAGAGGAGCTTGCTTGCATACTTTTGCTTCTGCACACGGCTGCAGCTTCAACGCAAGTCCTGCAATCTTCATCGCCCATGTGACCCGTGCCGCTGTTTTTTCAAGGCCTCATTTTCATGTCCATGCCGTAGCCCCGTTGCTCCGCATGTCGAAGCGAATGTCTAGGGTGCAAGCTGCATGTTTGCTGCTAGCTGTCCAGGTGTCTGGCAGCTGTTTGCCCGACGGAATCGAGGCGGAATAAGAGCAGATCTGCCCTGCGCGCGGCCCTAAACCCTAAACCCTAAACCCTAAACCCTAAGCCCTAATTCATGGCGACTTCGGCCAAGCGTCTGCGCAGCGCCGTGGATGTGGTGGTGATCTGCTGCGGCTGCCCTGGCAGGGGCATGGGTTCCTTGAGGACTCGAGTAAAGTCGGTTAGGGTTTGGGGTTTGGGATTTAGGGTTTAGGGTTTAGGGTTTAGGGTTTAGGGTTTAGAAGCTCAATAAGCCTCCTAAAAACTACAAAACCTCCTGAAAGCCTTGTAAACCCTAGAAACACCCTGTAAAAACCTTTTCGCCCCATAAGACCCGAAGCCCCCAATTGTACATGAATAAATAAACTCTATAAACCTGAAGCCTCCTATGAACCCCTATAACCCTCGAAAGCATGCCCTACAAACCCTGATGAACCCTATAAGCCTCTTACACTCTATAAACCCCATACCCACCCTACAAAAAGCCCTACAAAAAAGCCTACAACACAACCTATAAACCCTACAACAAACCGCACAACCTATAACCCTAAACCCTAAACCCTAAACCCTAAACCCTAAACCCAAGGTTGGTACCATCTCACCCAGCTCCTGGAGATGCTTTGGAAGAGATGTTCAAGCTTACAGGTTCTGAGTTATATCGGTTGGTGGTCTCTTTTAGGGTTTAGGGTTTAGGGTTTCTGTTTTGTAGGGGGGGGGGGTTCTAATTCGGGTATCAAGGGGCTATAGTCTGGAATAAGTGTAAGGAATAAGTGTAATAGAGAAAGAGGCCACCGGCCTTTATCAGTTCTGAGCGTTTAGTGCATCTTATAATGGCTGGGTAGGGTTTAGGGTTTAGGGTTCAGGGGTCTGGGTCTAGGGCTGTTAAGGGTTTAGGGACTGGCGTTAGGGGCAGGCTTTTTCGTAGATAATTCGGGAATTGGGTATCCTTATGTTTCTAGGGTATAGAGGGTTTGGTGTTTCTCGGCGTATGCGTAGAAATCACCTATGGTAGGAGCTTGGCCCCCAATATAGGCGCAACAGACACGTAAAACCCGAAGCCCGCCAACTGTAAACCTTCAACCTTAAACCCGAGATCCTAAACCCTATATCCTAAATCCTAAATCCGAAATCCTAAAGCCTAAACCCTAAATCCGAAAACCTAAATCCTAAGCCCTAAAATCCACCCTAAAATCCTAAAACCTAAAATCCTAAACCCTAAAGTCCTAAACCCCAAACCCTAAACCCTAAACCTCAGGCTCATGGAGATGCCGGATGCCCAGGTGGTCGGGGTGGTGGAGCCTTGGTTCCTTGGGCCCGGGCAGCGCCTCGGCCGGGGGTTTAGGGTTTAGGGTTTAGGGTTTAGGGTTTAGGGTTTAGGGTTTAGGGTTTAGGGTTTAGGGTTTAGGGTTTAGGGTTTAGGGTTCAATTGGGGCTTAGGGTTTAGGGTTGTTGGGCTGTTGGGCTGTTGGGCTGTAGGGGTTCGGGGCCTTGATGATGCTAAACGCAGGGCCTCTGGGATCCGCATCTTTTCATTTAAGCCCTGAACCCTAAACCCCAAACCCTAAACCCGAAACCCGAAACCCCAAACCCCAAACCCTAAACCCGAAACCTTGCGAAAGGAAGAGCCTTGGGGCAGAGAAGTTCCTGGAGTTCAAGGCCAAGCTGGAAGCGCAGGGGGTGCCCTTCTACCAGAGCGTGGACGAGCGGCTGGGTGGCCATACAAGGAGTTTGGGGTTTAGGGTTTAGGGTTTGGGGTTTAGGGTTTAGGGTTTAGGGTTTAGGGTTAGGATTAGGGCTTAGGGATTAGGGTCTAGGGTTTCGGGCTTAGGGTTTCGGTTTTAGGGGGGTTTCACAGAGTTTACAGGGTCTGTAGTGCTCAAAAGGATGCATAGTGGGGTCTGTACGGTTTATAGGGTGTCTAGAGTGTGCTGAGTCTCTAGGGTCTGGAGGGTCGGTTGTGTCTATTTAGTCAAGCCTAAACTAGTCAAGCCCAAAACCCTACCCCGGAGTTGCAGGAAGAAATCCAAAGCCCTTCGCCCGATCGTTGAAGAGCAGGCCCTAAATCCACCCTGATTTGCATCAGCAAACCCTAAACCCCAAACCCCAAACCCCAAACCCTAAACCCTCAACCCTCAACCCTAAACCCTAAACCCTAGACCCCAACCTAGGCTGCCGGCGTGCAAGGCCGGGAAGGCCTTGGCACTCATTGCGGGGCGCGCTGCAGAGAATCCCAAGCTCTTCCAGCCCCGAGGATGCTTTTAGGGTTTAGGGTTTAGGGTTTAGGTTTAGGATTTAGGGTTTTGGGTTTAGGGTTTTGGGTTCAGGGTTCACGGTTCAGGGTTCAGGGTTGATACGGTTTATAGGGTTTATAGGGTTTGTAGGGTTTATAGGGTTTATAGGATTTAGGGTCTAGAGTTTAGGGCTTATAGGATTCGGGGTTCAGGGTTTAGGGTTTAGGGATTAGGCCTGTTGCCTCCTTTGTTGCTTTGGTGGGGCTTTTCAGGGTTTCGGGTTTCTACGAAGAGGCCGAGGTAAACACGGCAATGACGGAAGATGCCGGACGTGACCGAGCTTAGGGTTTAGGGTTTAGGGTTTAGGGTTTAGGGTTTAGGGTTTAGGGTTTAGGGTTTAGGGTTTAGGGTTTAGGGTTTAGGGTTTAGGGTTTAGTGCTGGGGAAGCCTAGGCAGTGCCTCAAGAAGATCTCACACATCTACCTGGAGAAGCCGGGAGCCACGACGGCAGGCGAGCTGGAGGCCATGAGGCAGCAGGCTGCCCAGGCGGTTTAGGGTTTAGGGTTTAGGGTTTAGGCTTTAGGCTTTAGGCTTTAGGGTTTAGGGTTTAGGGTTTAGGGTTTAGGGTTTAGGGTCAGGGTTTAGGGTTTAGGGTTTAGGGTTTAGGGTTCAGGGTCTGCCCAGGCGGGCGTCCCTGTCTATCTTGGATACAACAAGAACGTTGCGAGACTTGGTCGCCCAGTGGCACCCTTTTTCCCCTTTTGTTGGTTCAAGGTTCCCTTTGCAAGAAACAAGTGTTTAGGGTTTAGGGTTTAGGGTTTAGGGTTTAGGGTTTAGGGTTTAGGGTTTTATTCAAAGATGGCTACTTTTGTCTACCAAGGCGATACGTGTCCTTAGCGCGGGAGGTAGAGGCACGCACGCCCGGGGCGGAGCTGACCTTCATCCACAACAATGCCTTCAAGCCGGATGAGCTGGAGCTTCCGACCATTTGCTTTAAGAACCCCATGAAAGAATATGAAAAAAGCACTATACTCCCTATATTACCCTAATAGAATAAGAAAAATACTAATCCCTATATTACCCTTATAAGGAAGAATAGAATAAGAAAAATACTAATCCCTATATTACCCTTATAAGGAAGAATATTTGTTGGGGGGGGGGTTCTTAAGCTAATTAATAGGCTTCGGGGACCAAATGACCCCCAAATGCGCCCACCAAGGGGGTGAAGATCCAACTTCACCCTCCTGGGGACGTTTTTCGTAGCATGCAGTACCTAAACCCGAAACCCGAAACCCTAGCCCTAAACCCTCAACCCTCAACCCTCAACCCTAAACCCTAAACCCTAAACCCTAAACCCTAAACCCTAAACCCTAAACCCCGTTCCCAAGGAGGAGTGCTTCTCGCGTTGCCGAGAGGGCATGATGAAGAACATGATGGTGCACGAGCTGGCTTTGCTCGTGACCTTCTGCGAGGCCTCTTGTGGTGCTTTGGGGGTTTAGGGTCTAGGGTTTAGGGTTTACGGTTTAGGGTTTAGGGTTGAGGGTAGATGCCCTTAGGACCCCTAAACCCTAAACCCTAAAAAACCCTGTAGACCCTAAAAGCCTAAACCCTACAACCCTAAAAGCCCTCGAGCCCTAAGGCTCCGTGAGCTTCTGCGAGGTCTCTTGCGACACGGTGGAGTCCCTGAAGGTGCTCTTCGCGGAGTCAGAGCTGCGAACCTTGGGAGGCTTCACAGATTTCGTGAAGTTCCTTGAAGATGCAAGCGGGTTTAGGGTTCATAAGTGATTCACAAGGGTTGAGTGCTTGGGGTTTAGGGTTTATGGTTAATAAGGGTTTGGGGCTCAGGAGCGAAGCTACTTGTCTTGGACTAATGTGGCTCACGGCATCTTCCTGTGCATCTTGAGAGGGATGTCAGCAGTCAGGGGCCATATGCTCTCGGTAGGTACCCTAAACCCCTTTGACCCCTTTGAAGGTTGGCTTTCAGAGTCACCACGAAGCAGGGGCAGCAGCTCACGGTGAAGGCCGACCGCTGCGGCGGGTCCAGCGCCATCGCCATCGTCTCAGTGAAGGGCGAAGAAGTGTTCAGATCACAGACGCCCGATGATGATCTCATGTCTCGGATGAAGGTGCAGCAAGAAGCTCAGTAGTAGAGTAGGTAACCTTTTTAACCCTTTTGGGTTAAAATCTTCCCCTTCAAATTTCGCAGGTTGAACCGTTAAAACCCCTTAAAGTACTGGACAGCTAAGGAAGCGAATCCGGAGGTTATGCCTTACTTCTTCCTGCAATCAGATGAGTACCTGGCCTTGAAGCAACGAGTCCTGTCCAGCATCCTCTTTGGGCAGCCCGCGGAAGGAGTGGCTACCATCGACATTGCCGTGGAAACTTTGAAGCTGGCAGACATGCTTGACGAACAAGTGACCTACTTCGCCTTTAGTTGAACTTGAAACTTCTTGGGTTTCCTTATTTAGTAGGAATATTAACGTTTAACCTTTTTTTCTCCCCTGGTTATTGGAGAAGTGAGGTGAGAGCTGCGCTCGCCTGAGGATCGCAAGGATTCGGGTTTAGGGATTAGGTATGAGGGTTTCAACCGTAAGTAAACCCGAAACCTTAAGCGCCTTAACCCTTATCCCTAGACCCCTAATCCCTAACCTCGATAAACCCCTAAACCTTAAACACGAAACCTCAAACCCAAAATCCTAAACCCCTCCTAGGACTTGAGGACCTGGCGCCTCGTGACCTTCGTAGGCACGAGGTCCGTCTTAGGGTTTAGGGTTTAGGGTTTAGGGTTTAGGGTTTAGGGTTTAGGGTTTAGGGTTTAGGGTTTAGGGTTTAGGGTTTAGGGTTCATCTGAGTCCGGAGCCTCACTACGGGCGCTGCAATTGCCGGAGCCCTGCATCCTGGAGACTAAATGAAGCCGAAGAGGTGGAATACTGGGTTTAGGGTTTGGGGTTTAGGGTTTAGGGTTACTACTCAAAACCTTTCTTCGGGTATCTTAACCCTGACTCCCCCCGGGTTCATTTCGTCACCACCAGAAAAGATGCGATAGACTGAGAGACTCGGTGCTTTCTTTCAGCCAATTGTCGGCGCAAAAGTGGCGCAGCGGCCTTGTTGACGTCGGCAGCTCCCGAAAATTTTGGGACATCTTTGGGGGGTTTGGAGTCTAAGGGTTTAAGGGTCTGAGGGTTTAGGGTTGAAGGGTGTAGGGTTTGCTGTGATCTGGCGCAGAAGCTGTGAAGGTTGGGATGCAGACTAAGTAGCCTCGAAAGCAGCTTTGGCCCGACTGTGGGGAGCCATCTAACACCTGTCTCCCGACACCGTCTCAGGCCGCAAAACCAGGTTCCTAGCTAAGCTTGGGTAGTAACATGGTCACCCAAGTTGTACGATAGATGTCGAGAACTCCACATTTGCACGCTCACTTCTTTGTGTGTGTGGTTCAAGCACGTGCTGGATGGCTGAAGGCAGCCAGAGTCACTGAAACTTCGCCTAGAACTGTTTTCCCCTACAAGTCCTAAAGCCGTAAAGCCCAAAACAATCCTATAATCCCTAAGCCCTGAAGGCCCTAAAGCCCTAAACCCTGAAGCCGTAAGAGTCCGAAAGCCGTAAAAGTCCTTAGCAAGTTTTAGGGTTTAGGGCTGCTAGGGCTGCTAGGTCTGCTAGGGTGTGGGTGTTGGGCTTTGGGTTTAGGGTGTGGGGTTTTAGGGTTCGGGGTTTTCAAACTCTATCTTACGATCCTCCATCAGGAGCAGAGGCATTCCTTGCAACCCTAAACCCTAAACCCTAAGCCCTAAACCCTAAACCCTGAACCCTAAACCCTAAACCCTAAACCCTAAACCCTAAACCCTAAACCCTAAACCCTAAACCCTAAACCCTAAACCCTAAACCCTAAACCCTACAACAACAAAAAAATTCTCCGAATCCCATGATGCGATGCCTACCGGGAATGTCCCGGGCAGCTCTGGGGATTGACGCCAGCTTACTGGCCGAGACAGATGACGCGGCTGGGCATCGTACTTAGGGTTTAGGGTTTAGGGTTTAGGGTTTAGGGTTTAGGGTTTAGGGTTTAGGGTTTAGGGTTTAGCTTGTGCACAGGCAGCTTGCATGCATCAAAGGATGATGTGATCAGAGTGTTCTAGCCCTAAACCCCAGACCCTAAACCCTAAACCCTAAACCCTTCACTGTCCGGAAAAGTTCAGGTTTTTAACAAAGGGGCTTTAGGGGTTGAAGTTTTGGGCGACAACGGTCCTGAATTGAATCTCACAGGCACACTAGTATGTTTACTTCCGAAGTGGTACCCTAAACCCTCAACCCTAAGCCCTAAACCCTACACCAATCTAAACCCTTTCCGATTATAGGGTTAGGATTATGAGATCGGATTCAAGGGCTGTCGCGGTTTCGTGATGGCTGCTTTCCCTCCTGAAACAGTACTACTCATGCACTTTTTTCTTGGTAGCCCAGTGGTATCCATTCCTTTGTGTTGGTTCAGGCTTCCCTTGTAAGTAACCCTAATCCCTAAACCCTAAACCCTAAAAAGGGGTACGAAGCTGCCACACTCATGGTAGTGATAGTGCCGTCTTCGTGCATGTATCTTGGGCTGCATAGCTTGAGGGTGTAGGGTTCAGGGTTGAAGTTTTTGCTGGACACCATTAGACATGTCCAAAAAAGAGTGTTTTTTATCGTGGAGAGTGCAACTAAGTCTGAACGAACTCAACAGTCAGTAGCGCAGCCTATCGTGCAACAGCTGCAGTAGATGCAATGCAAGCAATGGTTATTTGGATTGGCTTTGTGGATCATGCGTTCTGGATTTATAGCTTTTTGTGTTTCGCAAACTTTCCTACACTCTTCATTCCACGTGAACGTGTGATGCACTAAGTAGGCCAAGGAAGCCAGCAGAACGGTACACAATTGCCTGAGCCCCAAACGCTACACCCTAGGTCGTGGTTGATCCAAGCAGGCCTTTTCACCGCATCTTTGACCCAAATAACCATTCAACATTAGGGTTTAGGGTTTAGGCTAAACCCAAACCCCAAACCCCAAACCCTAAACCCTAAACCCCAAACAGGTCGCCCAGGGGCTGTTCCCCATGTACACAGTCGCTGCTGACCGACTAATGGAGATGGTCAAGCTCGAGCCGCATGAGGAGCTGAAGGCAGGGCTTAGGGCTTAGGGCTTAGGGCTTAGGGCTTAGGGCTTAGGGCTTAGGGCTTAGGGCTTAGGGCTTAGGGCTTAGGGCTTAGGGCTTAGGGCTTAGGGCTTAGGGCTCAGGGCTTAGGGCTTAGGGCTTAGGGCTTAGGGCTTAGGGCTTGGGGTTTAGGGTTTAGGGTTTAGGGTTTGGGGTTTAGAGTTTAGGGTTTAGGGTTCAGGGTTCAGGGTTCAGGGTTTAGGCTTTAGGCTTTAGGGTTTGGGGTTTGGGGTTTCGGGTTTCGGGTGTAGAGGTTTAGGGTTTAGGGTTTAGGGTCTAGGAGCCTAAACCTGCAGCCCCCGAACAGTTCCTTAGTAAGTCGCCGATCCTCCAAGTAAACCCTAAAAGGCAGCCCTAAACCCTAAACCCTAAAACCTGAACCCTGAACCCTGAACCCTGAACCCTGAACCCTGAACCCTGAACCCTGAACCCTCACCCGTGCAGGCCCGAGGTATCGTCGAGATTTTCGATGACCGTCTGGGTAACGCCGGCTTTGTCTCACATCAGTGGGTTGCCCAGGATCACCCTGATCCAGACTTCAAGCAAATGCAAGCTCCTAGGTTTAGGGTTTAGGGTTTAGGGTTTAGGGTTTAGGGTTTATAGGGTTTAGGGTTTAGGGTTTAGGGTTTAGGTTGTAGGGTTTAGGGTTCAGGGTTCAGGGTTCAGGGATTAGGGTTTAGGGGCTGTGCGGTGGTCTACGCGTTACTCGTTGTGCGGTGTTTCTGGGCTCCGGCTCTACCAGAACCGAAGAAGTACCTGAACAACCCTATAAGCCCTGTAATATGAAGCCCTAGAAGCTCTACAGACCATAAACTCCATAAGCCCAACCTAAACCCTAAACCCTAAACCCTAAACCCTAAACCCCTCTCTTAAACCCTATAAGCCCCTCTAACCCCTAAGTGACAGAGCAGCCCAGGTTTTGAAGGATGCCATGAAGCATGTCCTGACCAGCCAGGGTGTGGTTCCCCTGGACTTTGTGACCGAAACCTGCATCCCCACGGCCACTTGGTAGCCCTAAACCCTAAACCCTAAACCCTAAACCCTAAACCCTAAACCCTAAACCCTAAACCCTAAACCCTAAACAGGGTGCCCTTATGATGATATGGTTGCTGGGCTACCAAGGCCAAATCCATCCCTTTCCAAGAGTTCCAGTCGAAGCCTCTGTTCCTGGGCTGGCCCTTGGGATTTTTTCTCTGTTGGGGTTAAGACCCTAAACCCTAAACCCTAAACCCTAGTAAACCAAAACTGCGCAGAGAGTTCAAAGGGGCTACCTAGGTTCTTATGGTACGACTACTTCTCTGTCCCACAGCTGGAGAAGCTGGAAGGCTACATCTCCGCGGGCGAGGGAGGCAACAATCAGGTGAAGGCCATCAATAGCATCCCAGCCTATATCGCCAAGTGCCGCTACTTCTTTGCCCTGTGCCCTACGCTGGACTGCCATGCTGAAGGAAGGGTGCTGAATGGGACGACTTGGTCACGTAGAGGGTGGTGTAGGCTTGAGCGAGCATCGCGCGAGCTCTCTCAACATGACACGTGGGTTCTCATACAGGGATCTACGACCCTTCGGGTGGTAGGCACGGCGCTGTCGTCTCTTGGTGGCCTGGTGGTATCCTGTCGCCCCGTTTTGTTGGGGTTCAAGGTTCCCTTATAAACAGTACACCTAAACTCCAAAAGTGTACCCTGGTTAAAATACTAAGGTTTAGAGCTAAGGGTTTAAGGTTTACCTTCAAAACCCAACACCTACCTTTTTTGTAGACTCTTGTCATACAGCCCCCTTATAGGATTCTTAGGGCAACCTATTTAAAACAGTAAGGGTTCAGGGTTCTTAAGGCTTAGGGGCTACCAAGCTTTGTGGTACTTTTACCGTAACTTTAGATCCTGACCCTTTTTGGGTTTATTGGGTTTCTTAATAAGGCAGCTACAACTTTAATTTATAGCTACCCTCCTGAGTTCAGCCAAGCAAGGTTTGTGACCGGCCCTGTGGGCGAGGGTGAGTTCAGCGTGGAGGGCGACCGTGCCAAGCTCGCCGCGGTGATGATGACGATCCTGGGTCTTGGAGTACTATACTTTGATACTTTCTTTTTTTGGTCTCCTATTATAGCTAATTATTACCTAAAAAGTATATATTTTTTTTTGGTCTTGGGCTCCCATTATGGCTAATTATACCGAAACCCTAAACCCTAAACCCTAAACCCTAAACCTTAAACCTTAAACCAGGGTCTACTCCAAAGCTAAGGATCGTGAAGCGGAAGCTGCTGCTGTCGCTCCAGCCCCCTAGCAGTGCTAAAACGCGAGACTGCAAGGGTTCTTCGTAGGGTGTTAAAGCGAAAGACTGGGCTGGCTCTTGGTAGGGAATGAGGGAAGTAGGGGCCCTAAGTCCCAGTAGCCCTAAACCCTAAACCCTAAACCCTAAGCCCTAAACCCTAAACCCTAAACCCTAAACCCCAAGGGCTGGCGACCTGTCGAGCTACCGCCGCCACCTCAACCTCCAGTCCGTGCACTTACGCGGCTTCAACATGGAAGGGGTGGTCGACATTGTCCCCGACACTGGGCGCTGAAGGTTCAGGGTTTAGGGTTTATAGGGTTTATAGGGTTTAGGGTTTAGGGTTTAGGGTTTAGGGTTCAGGGTTCAGGGTTCAGGGTTCAGGGTTCAGGGTTCAGGGTTTAGGGTTTAGGGTTTAGGGTTTAGGGTTTAGGGTTTAGGGTTTAGGGGGTTCTTGGTTTATAGTTCATAGGGTTCAGGGACTTCCAGAGCATCTGTATACTGCACTGGCCACACCACTTTGTGGTACTTTACCGTAACTTTAGATCCTTACCCTTCTTGGGTTTATTGGGTTTCTTAATTAGGCTGCTCAAGGTTTAATTTTCAGCTACCCTCCTGAGTGCAGCCACACCAAGCGGATTAGTACGGTTCAGGTTTCGGGTTTGCCAGCCACCGGGTGGCTCTGAAGGAGGTTTCGTGAGGAAAACAGATCACCTGGCCCTAGACACCCTCCCCCCCAAAAAAAAAGCATATATATATATATATAGATTCAAAATAACAGTAAATAAAACAGACCTCTTAAACCCGAAGCCGTGAACCTTAACCCCTAAACCCAAAACCTTGAACCTTAAAGATGCCTTCTGTTCGTCGGGCCTTCAACTGCACACACAGGGCCCCTAAAGGGCTTAGGGTTTAGGATTTAGGGTTTAGGGTTTAGGGTTTAGGGTTGACTAACCCTAGAGCCTAAATCGTGTTCAAACAGCCTTGTCTTAGGGACGAGGGTGTGTCGGTTTAGGTTTAGGGTTTAGGGTTTAGGTTTCAAGGGGGTTTAGGGTTGAGGGGGTTTAGCGCTTAGGGTTAAGGGTGTATGTACACTGAACCTTTTTAGCGACTTTTGGGCTTAGAAAGCCATTTGAAAGCCCATCGAAATTCCAGGTCCTAAGTGGATCACACAGAAGGCCTACGCATCTTTGTCTTGAGGCTGTAAGTTCGGGTTTTACGGGTTTAGGGCTTAGGGTTTAGGGATGCACTGCTGTTCATAAATTTGCGGGGGTGGATTTTGAAAACTGAAGGGGTCTCTTTCGGAGGGACCCTCAACCATAATTGGATAGATGATTGTGGCTTCCTTGTGATGCCTTAATTCTTTTAGAGACCCCAAAACGCCAAACCCCAAGCCCGAACATCCACCCAGGACAAGCCCGGCAGTGGAGCAGACGATGTGGTGGCACACTTCCTCCACCGGATGGGCCTCAGAAGTGTCTCAGTAGTAGAGCAGGTAACCTTTAACCTTTCTGGGTTAAAATATTCAATATTCCCCTTCAAATCCCAAAGATTAACCTTTAAAACCCCTATAGGTACTGGACAGCTAAGGTGTGGACCACAAGGACGCGGCAGGTTGGCGGCCGCTGCACTACGCTGCCTTGTCAGGCAACGGCCAACTTCCCAGACAAAACCCCGGGTGATTTGAGAAAATGAACCTGCCCTCTCGCTCTTTGTTTGTTCTCTCTCTCTCTCTCTGCCTCTTGCCCTCTCTGTATATTTTAAATTTTATAAGTTTTCAAAAAAGCTTAGTTGCAGCGTAGGTAACCTTTAACCTTTTTGGGGTGCATATATGTATATATATATATATGTGTGTACATATGTATATGTAGTCCTACCACAATTGAAGGTTAGCCTTTTCTGGCCCAGGGTACTCAGCAACTAGGTTTAGGGTTTAGGTCCTTCTCCGCATGCTTCTCCTTCTCTGTATATGTCACATCCTACTTTTTCAAGTCAGGGTATTGGGCGTCCTAGACCCTAAACCCTCAACCCTCAGCCCTAATAACCCTTGCGTGCCTGGCATCCTAAACCCCAAACCCTAAACCCCAAACCCCAAACCCTAAACCCTAAACCCTAATAGCCCCTGGGGTGCCTTGTCAGGCAACTTGCAGCTGATCGAGGCCTTGCTGAAACAGCGCGCTGACCCCAACAGACGCACCTCCAAGGACGAGCCGAAGTTGCTTGTTGTTTAGGGTTTTAGGGTTTAGGGTTTAGGGTTTAGGGTTTAGGGTACTTAGGGTTTTTAGGGTTTCGGGTTTAGGTACTTAGGGCTAGGGGTTTAGGGTACTTAGGGTTTAGGGTTTGGGGTTCAGGGTATTTAGGGTTTTGGGTATAGGGTGTTTAGGGTTTAGGGTATAGGATGTTTAGGGTACTCAGGGTTTAGAGTAGGGGTTTAGGGTTCAGCCGGTTCAGCCCCTGTTCACGTTTTCTTGACCCTAGCTTCCTGTGTTTTGTCGTTCTGCACGAGATCGGGTTTAAGAGTTCTCGGATAGTTTCAAATCGGGTTTGGAACTCCCGGTGAAAGTGAAGGGGGAAGGGGGGGGGGGGGGGAGAATTGCCCCTACCTATCCAATTTGCTTTGGAGCGCATTGTTGAGAAGCATTCCCTAAACCCCGTAAATCCTATAAACCCCATATAGTTCCGAAAAGCCACCCTCTAAACCCTCTAAACCCTGCGTTAAATCCCATATAAAGCCCTTAAACCCTAAACCCTAAACCCTAGCCCTAAACCCTAAACCCTCAGCCCCTAAGCTCGGGAATTCCGAGGTTGGGATTTCCGCCGTGGGTGTCGCCCCTCGACCTGGCCGTCTTCTATCGGCACAACGACGCGGCACGGCTGCTGATCGCATCGAAGGCCTCTGTCAGAGGGGGCGTCCTGCCGGCTGTTTAGGGTTTAGGGTTTAGGGTTTGGGGTTTGGGGTTTGGGGTTTGGGGTTTAGGGTTTAGGGTTTGGGTTTAGAGTTTGGGGTTTCGGGTTTAGGGTTTAGGGGGTTTAGGCGGTTTAGGCGGTTTAGGGGTTAGGGTTTGGGGTTTGTGGTTTAGGGTTTACTTAGGCCCCGTTTGTTGAACATACCTTTGTGACCTCTAGAATCACAAGCACCTCTGTAGCATTGTTGTTTCCGTACGAGTCGACATAGTAGGACCTTGAGGGATATGGGGGTTTCAGGAATTAGGGTTACCTTATGGGGGGGCCTTATTAGAAGGGGATCCTACTAACTATTTGGGGGGGTCTATATTAGGGGTCCCTTACTTTCGTAACGCCCCATATGTTTGTTTTTTAAGTTCCCTGCCACTTATTGTATAACGTTGTAAGAGGATCCTGTTTGGAAAAAGTTTCAGAGGGCTGTACCCCTAAGCCCTACACCCTAAACCCTCGACCCTGACAGCCGAGGAATCCTGACCGCGATGCAGCACGCGTGCATGTCTGACAATGCAGAGGGCATCCGCTTCCTCAGCAAGAACGACCGCAAATCGCTGGGAAGAAACCTCTTTGGTGCCACAGCCCTCGAGGTTTAGGGTTTAAGGGCTAGGGTTTAGGGTTTAGGGTTTAGGGTTTAGGGCCGAGGGTTTAGGGGGTTTAGGGGGTTTAGGGGGTTTAAGGGGTTTAGGGAGTTTAGGGGGTTTAGGGGGTTTAGGGGGTTTAGAGGGTTTAGGGGGTTTAGGGGGTTTAGGGGGTTTAGGGGGTTTAGGTGGTTTAGGGTTTAGGGGCTAGGGGTTTAGGGTTTAGGGTTTAGGGTTTAGGGTTTAGGGTTTAGGGTTTAGGGTGCCCCTGGAGGTTGCAGGTTCCTACGGTGCCTGGGAAGCGATGGAGGAGCTTCTGCGGCAGGTGCGCTTCGGCCGGCTGGAGATCCTGGGCCGCATTCAGGGTCCACAGACTAAACCCTAAACCCTAAACCCTAAACCCTAAACCCTAAACCCTAAACCCTAAACCCTAAACCCTAAACCCTAAACCCTAAACCCTAAACCCTAAACCCTAAACAGAAACTTCAAAGAGGTGTAAACTTAAACCCTAAACCCGCTAAACTCAAGACCCTTGAGGACAGTCGTTGCGCGAAACACTGGTAAAACTTGTTCCTTAGCCCTTGATATAGCTGCCACTGTCTGCCAAGGACGAATGATGCCTAAACCCTAAACCCTACACCCTACACCCTAAACCCTAAACCCTAAACCCTAAACCCTAAACCCTAAACCCTAAACCGCCGGATGTCTTGAGTGAAAGAAGAAGGTCTCCCAGCCACGGCCTAGTTGAACAGGTCTTCTCTGCGGTTCGAGCGCTGGTTCGTGTGCTAGAGCATTTAGGGTTTAGGGTTTGTTTAGGGTTTAGGGTTTAGGTTTTAGGGCTCGCTACGGAAATTGGATGTACGTGTGTATGTAGATATATTGTACATCTATGAGGGGTTTAGGAAAATTGGCGACCCCCCCAAACAAAATCCCCCAAAGAGTAGGATCCCCTTATAAGAAGGACCCCCTTTAAGGCCTTTAAGGTACCCCTATCTTCGGACAGCCCTCATTTCGACTTACATGCCTCTTCTAGCCTACCATCGTCTCCTGTATGCTCGGCGCAGTCACGCGCGCGGGGCTACGCGTGATGTCCACGCGTTGCGAAAGTGCCTTCAGTCCCGTCATTGGTGTGTCAATGAGGATCTGCCCTCAGAACCCGTGAGCCTGGACCCCAAACCCTATAAAACCTAAACCTTATAAACCCTAAACCCTAACCCCTAAACCCCTAAACCCCTAAACACCCCCCCCCCCCCCCCCCCCCCCCCCCCCCCCGCCCCACTCCTTAAGGATCTCCGGCGCCCTCCACGCCGCCATGATCCTACACGGTGGCTCCGCGAGGATGGTCGAGCGCCTGGTCAGTCTGCGGGCCGACGTCAACTTCCAGTACCCTGTGGGGGTACATGGGAGATCCTCTCTTACGGGGTTTAGGGTTTTGGGCTTAGGGTTTAGGGTTTAGGGTTTAGGGTTTGGGGTTTGGGGTTTGGGGTTTAGGGTTTAGGGCTTGGGGTTTAGGGTTTGGGGTTTGGGGTTTGGGGTTTGGGGTTTAGGCTCGGCATACGTGGATTACAGAGTCCTGAAGGGAGGGGGGGTTAATGTGCCTTATAGGGAGTAGTGGGGAGTATGAGGGAACCTTGGGCTACATCCCGCCCGTGAACCCCCTCATATAGGTGCAACCCTAATCCCCCCTCAACCCGAAACCCCTAAACCCTACACCCCCTAAAACACCCCTAAACCAAACCCCCTAAACCCCAAGACACTTAGCCCCTAAACCCTATAATGAAAGCTAGAGCTCCTAAACCCCAAACCCCCCCAAACCCCAAATCCCTAAACCGCACCGCAACCCTGACCCCCCTTAAACCCTAAATCCAAAACCCCAAAGAATTCCGAAAGGTACCATAAGCCCCCCGAAAGGTACCCCTAAACCCTAAACCCTAAACCCTAAACCCTAAACCCTAAACCCTAAACCCTAAACCCTAAACCCTAAACCCTAAACCCTAAACCTAAACCCCCCGAAAGGTACCATCCGCACCGGAACCTGTCACGTCTCGGCCGGGTGATCTTCGGAGGGAAGTCGCTGCAGCACCGGTTCGGGCGAGCCACGGTGTTGTGCCTGGGGGAGCACCTTAAGGAGCGTTTAGGGTTTAGGGTTTTGGGTTTTGGGTTTAGGGTTTATAGGGTTTAGGGTTTAGGTTCAGGTTCCACCTCTTGTTTCCTAGGCTACTCTTGGGTCAAGACCTTGGGATACTCGTACGACATGTTTGGGGGATTGTGAAGAGGGACCCATATTTCGGAGTTTACTTCATACCCTAAAAGGTCAACCCTAAGCCCAAATATTCCAGAGCCTAAGCCCCAAACCCTTAACCCTTAGAAACCCTAAACCCGAAACTCCAAACCCGAAACCCTAAACCCGAAACCCTAAACCCGAAACCCTAAACCCTAAACCCTAAACCCTAAACCCTAAACCCTAAACCCTAAACCCTAAACCCTAAACCCTAAACCCTAAACCCTAAACCCTAAACCCACCCGAGGTCGGAAGTTGCGTATCACAGTTACGGCTGCACGCCGCTGATGGCGACCTTGCAGACAGCGCAATACGAGGGCGCTGCTGCTTCTTGGGAGCCCCACTGGTACCCTTATTATGCTGGGTGGGTTTAGGGTTTAGGGTTTAGGGTTTAGGGTTTAGGGTTTAGGGTTTAGGGTTTAGGGTTTAGGGTTTAGGGTTTAGGGTTTAGGGTTTAGGGTTTAGGGTTTAGGGTACCCTTACTAAAACCTGGTAACCGGGCTTCCGAGGCTTTGATCGCTGCAGGAGCTCGGCTGGACATCAGAAACTGCCGCGGCTTCACGGCGGCCGACTTTGCCAGAGGCCAGCCCTAAACCCTAAACCCTAAACCCTAAACCCTAAACCCTAAACCCTAAACCCTAAACCCTAAACCCTAAACCCTAAACCCTAAACCCTAAACCCTAAACCCTAAACCCTAAACCCTAAACCCTAAACCCTGGACTGCCAGAGGCCAGCCCATCCCCGAGTTCCTGCAGGCAGGGCTGGCAGGAGACCCCGAAGAGTGCGAGAGAGTGACATCTCTGGCACTTTCCGAGGACTACTTTGAGATCTAGGGTTTGGGGTTTAGGGTTTAGGGTTGGGATCTAATGCAGGGGTCGTATTCCCTTATGGTCCCTTTGGTAATTATACTATAATATCCCCCAAAAGCTTGTTCTAATTATTAGGGCCCCTAGAGTAGCCTTTCCCAAAGCCCTATATCCCTGTAGTTCCAAGGACCTATATTTCGGGCACTAGCGCCCATTAGGTCCCTGGAGGTATGGGGTACAATATTTATTTTCCAGTTCACTTTTCCCACTGGCTCCTTGCAGGGGATGAGGGATTTAGGTACCCTACAAACCCCTGCAGTGCCCTTTTCGGGAGATATGCTGATTTCTCCAATTTTGGGTCCCTACTTTGGGGTCCTGATTATCAGGCGGCCCCTCTTATTTAGGGTGCCCCGCAAAGGACTGCAGTTTAGAGAACTGACCATACCAGGCACCTAGTTCCCTCATTCCCAACCCTAAACCCTAAACTCTACACCCTACCCTAAGCCCTAAACCCTAAACCCTAATCCCTAAACCCCCCTGTACCAAGAGCCAGTTCACTTTTGCTTTAAGCGCAGTCCCGCCAAGCGGATCTGGGAGCCCACACCTCAGCGGCTGAATGATGTTCTGCTACCGTGCTGGTGGCGCTGGTTGCTAACGCTGGTACCTTAAACCCCCACCCCCACACCCGAAAGCCTCAGCCTGAAATTAGCCCTAAACCCTAAACCCTAAACCCTAAACCCTAAACCCCTGCATATGCATGTTCTTCCTGCCCTGAGGGTGGTACCTCCAATGCAGGGCCTGATACCTCCAGAGGAGGTTTGAAGGGTTTTCAAATCCCTTGGCCCACCTCACTCGATCTTGCGCAGCCTCATTTTTCGGGTGTTTCCGATGTTTGGGGTACCCCTATTTCTCCTGGTTCTGAGTAGGGAATGAGGGAATGAGGGCTTTATATATACCCTTTAAGAGATTATGCAGGGCCCTGCTTCCCTCATTCCACCAGCCAGGTTTTGGTAGCGATCACAGTATTTGGGGTGGTATATGAGGGTACCCTATTCAGGGAACTTCCCATTTTCAATCCCGACGGCCTCTAGATTTCCGACCTTTGGAAAACTGGCCCGGGTATTGTGCGTCCGGCATGGCGTGCGATGCGCGCCAAAAGTCGCTGCGAGAGGGCGGTGGGTGGGAAGTGGGGCTTTCATGTACATCCGGGTCGTTAGTATAGGATTGAAGTAGGGATGATAGCTTGGGATGTTCCCCCCTTATCCTCACAGCCCTTAATAGGGATTTACAACAGGGGGTATCATGGTCCCGATTAAGGACTGTTAGTAGAAGGGGGAACATCCCGAAATATATCGAGTAGTTACGGACCTCCATTTCTGTTTTTGAGGGCTTGTAGGGCTTTATGGATTATCATAGGCCTTATCATTGGGTTTGTGATAGGGCTTATCATAGGACTTTTGAGGGGCTTATAATAGGGCTTTAGTGATTATCTCGGAGAGTTGCTGATGAATCTTTGCAATTTTCCTAGAAACCGGGAGTAGGCCCTTTTGTTTCCTGTTTTTAGGGTTGGGGTTCCCTTATAATCCCCTAAAAAACACCAAAAAGGGCACCCTTTTTTATTCCTAGATTACTCTCGGGTCTAGTTGCGCCATGCCTAAGATTCTAAAGATATGGGTATTCTTGCTCAACAGGGTGGACGTGTGCACATGTCATTGCTGGATATTGGTTGATGTTCCGGTCGTACGACTTTGTGGCAATTATCATTTCTTCGTGTTTGGGGGGGGAGAGTATAGATCACTAAAACCGTACATTCTAAATACACGGGTTGTGACTTCTCTGATGAAATGGTATGGCGCCGAAGGTCTACATGTTTGTGTGCGGCTTCACCTAGTAGTACAACGTCGTCGGGGTCAAACAGCCCTCACAAACTCAACCCTAAACCCTGAAAACAAATTGTGCTAAGATTCAAGTTGCTGCTGTCGACGAAGACAAGAGATCGCCGCAACCGTATGTGCAATTCCCGAGTTTCGGATCAATAGCCGTACAAAAGGGGTCGGAATAATTACCACTAGTATTCCCTGATGGTCCCTTTGTAATTGTACTATAGTAACCCCCAAAACCCTAAACCCTGAACCCTAAACCCCCAAAACCCTGTTCTAATCATTGAGGCCCTCCATCTTACCCCCACTAGAACTGCAAGGCTTTCACGGTTTGCCCATCCGTGCCTTGGCAAGTTGTTCACATTCAGAACCTAAACCCTAAACCCTAAACCCTAAACCCTACACCCTAAACCCTAAACCCTAAACCCTAAACCCTAAACCCTAAACCCTGGTTAGAATACCATTGCTGAGGTTTCAAGGGAATCTGCTGATTCATGTTCGCCATGCCGGGTGATGCACTGGCCCCGGTGTCCCAGCGCCTGCCTCGGGCCAGCTTGGGGTGCGTGACGCGCTCGCGCGAGGGTGAGATACTGGGAGCTCCTCGTCACCCTGCCTACGGTTTTTGTTTTGATTTGGGTTTAGGGTTACCCTGAACCTGAACCCCCAATTACCAGGCTGCCCAGTAGTACCCTCATTCCCTTTTTGGGGGGTTTAGGTTCCCCTATAAACCCCTTTAAGCAAAAAGGGGCACCCTTTTTAAGCCTAGGTTACTGGGCAGCCTAGGACCGAATTGTGGCGTCCCGATAAGGGTTATCCTAAACCCTAAGCCCTAAATTTGAAACCAAGACCACCAGGGACAGAACTCTTGTGTCCCGATAAGGGCTCGAGTTTCCCTGCACTTCCCCCTCAACCTGAACCTCGGGGCCTTTTCGTTTGTGTGAAGCTTTTCTAAGCCCTACACCCTAAACCCTGAAGATGCTTAAGGTGTGTTAGGGGTTCACGCATGGGGTCCCAAGCCCTCATATCTCCAAAAGGCTGTGAACGCAACTCGGTTTAGGGTGTAGGGTTTAGGGCTTTAGGGCTTGGGGTTTCGGATTCAGGGTTTAGGGTTTAGGGTTTACGGTTTACGGTTTACGGTTTAGGGTTTAGGGTCTAGGGTCTAGGGTTTAGGGTTTAGTGAAGCGGTAGAGGTGGTCCATCGAACAGCGGACATCGACGAGGACAATGAGCTGGTGAAAGTGTGGTTGCTGCAGCGGCTTGGTAGCCCAGTGCTACCCGTTTTTTCCTTTTTTGAGTTCAGGGTGGTTCCCTCATAAAGTAGCCCTAAACCCTAAACCCTAAACCCTAAACCCTAAACCCTAAACCCTAAACCCCCAAAAAGGTACCCTCACTTGGTTACTGGGCTACCAAGGCTGACGGGCCTGGAGAGCGGCACTTTCCACTGGGACGCGCCTCATTCCGCACGTTTATCAGCTCCAAGCCCCCCCAGAAACCTTGGGCGTAGGGTTAAGGGTTTTAGGGTTTAGGGTTTAGGGTTTAGGGTTTAGGGTTTAGGGTTTAGGGTTTAGGGTTTAGGGTTTAGGGTTTAGGGTTTGGGCAGATCCCAAGCCTTGTACGCTGCAGTGTCTAGGCACCCTACCTGAAGCACATCTGACTACAGGATTTAGGGTTTAGGGTGTAATTTGCTAAGGAACCCCACCAAAATGCAAGATAGTAATCCCTCTATTGCCCTTAGGAAGAATATTTTGGCAGTTTGGAGGGGTTCTTAAGCAAATAGTAGACTATGCGTGACAGGGAGCTTTACAGGTTTTCAGGGCTTTAGGTGAAACATTCCCGTCCAGGACTTTATTCCTTCATGTACAACCTGCAAGAGGAGGCTCCACCCGGTTCTTCTCGAAGACGAGGAGGCGTCCACATGCCCGGTGTGCAGTGGGCAAAAAGGGCATGGGAAGTGCCAAAAGTTTCAATGTCGCAGCTCATATCTTCGGTTATGTCACGCATGTGGTGAGTCACAACAGTACGCCTACTGCGGCAGCCATCCCTTCTTTGGCGGCTACTCACCGACGGAGGGAGTCCACAGAGACGGCGGCCCAGCTCTATGGGAGCAAACGGTTGATGCATGTGGCGAGTGGGACATCTCGATGGCTGCTCCTCGCTGCTGGACTGAAGAGGGCTGGCTCACAGAAGCTCAACTCTTTGCGGATCTGGAGGAGCCGTCTTGCGTTGTTTGTGCTTGTGCTTGTTGTATCTACGCAGCCAGAGGGGATGAAGGAGACGGAGAGGAAGAAAAGCCAGGCCACGAGCTGGAGATGAGGGAGGAGAGAGAGAGAGAGAATATAAATATCGGAGCAAACAGAGTAGAGACAAGAGAAAGACTTTGGTGCTTCGCCCCAAGAGGCTAAGCAATCCAATCCAAGTAAGCACCACTGTCGAAATGCAGGCCCTGCAAGCACCCAAGCATCTAAAGCACGCAGGTCATGGACATTGCTGAAGGTAGTTGGGAGAAAACTGGGGCAGCAGCGCAGTCTAACAGTCCCTGCGCCTGGGCTGGGAGTTCAGGGTGCAGGGTTAGGGTTTTGGGTGTAGGGTTCAGGGTTTAGGGTTGCAAACCGGACGACTCTGACACTCGAGTCAGGCTTTTGTTCGCCTGAATTCCTCCTGAGTCCCAGCTTGCAAGAGGGTGAGCCCGCCACTCTGGCACTTCCCCATAAGCCTCCTTGAACTTTCAAGCAACCCAAAATTCAGAGCCTAACGAAAAGTGCACGCCCCACACCCGGGGTAGTTTCTTTCAAGAACTTGGAACTTAGGCCTTGCACGTGGCTTCACCTTCGCGCGCCCGTTTCGGTAGATCAGAGAGAGCAGGGAGAGGGAAAGAGAGAGAGAGAGAGAAGAGCAGCGACAGCAAAGAGCAAAGAGAGAGCAGAGAGAGCAGGGGGGGAAGGGGGGGAGGTGGGGTAGGGGGGGGGGGGGGGGGGGGGGGGGGGGGGGGGGGGGGGGGGGGGGGGGGGGGGGGGCACAAGAGCTGAGCCTACTTGACCCTTTTTGGGTGAGACACTAAAGCAAATCCTGCTTCCTCACAAAACCCTACGAGCACCAAGGGAGGGAACATACGACAAGCTCTGGAGATTCCAAAACGTCCGGACACTA